TCACCATCCGCTCAATGTACTCCTTCTTATTTTTCTCCGTCACCTGCACATTCGTCCCGCCAGACTTCAGCTCCCGCTCTGTCACCTGACATACAAACAACACAGAAAAAGAGGATTATTGTTTAATTTATAACAAAATACTTTGCCCCATGTTTTATTAAAGTAGCTGCTTCATATAAAGACATATGAAAACAGTTTTAATGAACTATAGCAGTGGTTCTTAAACTTTTTGACTTAATGATCAGTATTGAAATACAGTAGTGTAGTAGGCCTAATTAAGCAGCTACAACTCTGCACTGTTCAAAAACCAGGCAGATTAATTCCTATTATCCTAAATATGTATTATTGTCAGCCACGTTCATTCATTTATTCATTTTCTTGTCGGCTTAGTCCCTTTATTAATCCGGGGTTGCCACAGCGGAATGAACCGCCAACTTATCCAGCAAGTTTTCAAGCAGCGGATGCCCTTCCAGCCGCAACCGATCTCTGGGAAACATCCACACACACACTCCTTCACTACAGACAATTTTACCCTACCCAATTCACCTGTACCGCATGTCTCTGGACTGTAGGGGGAACCAGAGCACCCGGAGGAAAAAACCCACGTGAAAGCAAGGAGAAGATGCAAACTCCACACAAAAATGGCAACTGACCCAGCCGAGGCTTGAACCAGCGACCTTATTGCTGTGAGGCAACAGCACTCCCTACTGCGCCACTGCGTTGCCGGTCAGGCACTTTAAGCATTATAAATAGTTTAAACATTACCTGAACTTACAGACAATTTTTTTAATTAATCGTTCAAATTAGAATGTGCTTTTAAATGTTAATTAAAAATGGCAATGTTCTTAAAAAGCAAAAAGAAAACTGCTGTACTTTTAAAGTATTGATGTATATGTCATCAAAACCTGGAAATGTTGCTTGGACCGAATAAATATATGTAAATTAATATATATATATAAAAATAATAATAAAATATATATAATATAATATTATATATATACACACAATATTATATATATATATATATATATATATATATATATATATACATACACACACACACACACACACAATATATATACACACACACACACACGCGCACACAATTAATGATTAATGAGGGTGGAGCTACAAATGTCTGTATGTCAGCATAGTGGCAGATTAAAATACAAGACTATCATCTTATGCTAACAAGGGAGAGATTGTCACTAATGGGCGGGGCTTTCCTTCTTTGATGACACGTTCAAAGGGAGAATGTCAATCAAAGTGTTTCTGCAGACTGTTTTTATCAAGTGTGATCATAAAAAGTAATCTTCAGCATTAGAAGCTGGCTATATTTTTGCCACACAACTGTGTTTAAACCACTTATAAAAGTGATTTTTGCATAATAGGTCCCATAGTCCTAATTGAAGCTAAAAATTTACCCAATAAAAATAAACAAAGTTTTTAACACATAAACTGACATTTTGGAAGTATTTTCAGAATTTGAAGGCAGGATTTGCATCCATGCTTTTCCCACCTGTCCGAACACTTCCTCATTGACAGTGAAGGTGAGGTCCAGCACATCAGTGATGTCATTTTCCTTCATCCACTGCAAGCTCTGGTGAAACTCCTCATCCAGATACTCCAGATCGCTGAGATCAGTGGGTCTGCAAAGAGAGAGCGCATCACAAAACAACACAATTTATGATGGCATGTAGTATTCCGATAAATCCTAGACTAATAAATTAGTCAGACCTACTAATTAACTGACATATGAATTTATTTAGAGATTACATGGGTGCTTAAATGTGTTTGAGTCTGTAAAATGTTTTAAATACATTTTCTCAGTTTTGTGAATTGAAATAAAATAATCATGTAAAAAACAATGTATGTTACTTATTATTATATGTAAAATGTTTTAAACATCTAACAGTTTTTTAACACATTTTGTATGATTATAATATCTATTCCCATTATTGAAAATTAGGTCAGCAACAAATTTAGGTCGGTAAAAAACTTTATTTTAAGTAACAATTCACACTGTTTACTACTGGCTTTTTACCTGCCTATTATTAAGATATTAACTGTTTTTAGTATAAGATTTTAATTCTTCATACCTAATCCTACCCAATACCTAAACCCAACTACTACCTTACAAACTATTAAAGGTTCAAGACACCCTGGAGTACTTTTTTTTAGATTTTTACAGATTTGTGTTTGCTGAGCATCAGTTAAGACAATGTTAGCACCTGTTAGCTTTAATTTTGAGGAAACCTAGATAATTTTGAGCTTTTGTCAGCTAATTTCATTTTCCGGGTTTCAAATAATTTTTGGGGGTAGGATTAAAATCTGTGACATAACGCAAATCTGCTAGTGAAGTGATGACGCGTTGGTTTCTCATTAATATTCATAGCTGAGTTTTCTTATCCTATGAGAAGAGCCTGCTTCTTAATTATTCATGAGAGCACGTGCTTTCTGATGGCAAGGCAGACCTAACGATTAGGTGAGACTGCACACGGCACAGCACATGCACGGCACATGTCGTATTTGTTTGTTTCCATGATCCATGGGGTTTGTTGCATATTTTTCCCCGCCATTTTGTCAAGGCCGACACAGAAAAGCTGTTGGTTTGTACAGTAGCAAGCATATTTGTCAGGAGAGCTGTATGAGAAGTGTAGAATGGCAGACTTTGTCTTTTATCAGCAATTTTGATACCATTCAGACACATCGCCTATATCCGTGTTGCTGTGTTCACCTATGTTTAAAATCCTCCAGATTGCCGGCAGGGCTAATGGTTGAAATAGACATGGCAGGAGATCTGCTGCACTGCTATCCACTGTGTCTGCATTCAGACCAGGGGATAAGAAGGAGAAAAGTCGCCATAATTTATGGTGTTTATATAAACATGATTATCTTTCTAATGATGTAAGAAATTGTGGTAATGTTTATATGAAATTACGAATATCAAATGTAGCAGGACATTCAATTACTTACTGTTTATTTCTTTGCATTTTAACTTTGTAAACTATAAAATCATGGGTCTCCTCACGGTTTGTCTCATTTTGTGAGCTGACTGGCAACAGTTACTTCTCTCTTTTCCCCTGCTCTGTGGTAGACTTGAACTGAAAGAGGGGGGTTTCATGCCCCTTTAATAAGCATCAAAGTAGTAGATTATTCAGCTAATCGTCATAGTTAACAGTGTGAATTGTACATTAAAATAAAGTGCGATCCAAATTTCAATGCACATATTGAAGTTACAAAAATTGCAGTTAATAACATTTTAATCAAAAAGATATTTTAAGATATAATTATTTTCCCAACTGATTAAACATGACAGTAAAGACATTTATTGTTACTAAATATTCATTTATTCATTCATTTTCCTTCGGCTTAGTCTCTTATTTATCAGGGGTCGCCACAGTAGAATGAAATGCTAACTATTTCGGCAAATGTTTTACGCAATAGATGCCCATTCGAGCCAAAACCCAGCCCTGGGAAACATTCATACACTCTCACATTCACACACACTCATACACTGTGGCCAATTTAATTTTATCCAATACGCCTATAGCGCATGTCTTTGGACTGTGGGGGAAACCGGAACACCCGGAGGAAACCCACACCAACATGGGGACAGACTCCACACAGAAATGCCAACTGGCCCATCCGGGACTCAAATCAATGACCTTCTAGTTGTGAGGTGACAGTGCTAAGAATTGAGCCACTGTGCTACCTATTACTGGCGCAAACTTCTAAACAAACCATAACCTTCCAGTTACTGAAGAATCATGTGACCGTGATAACTGGATTAATGATGCTACAAATTTGCTACATTAATGATATTGTGTTTTCAACTAAGATACTTGTTTATTTGGAAATATAAATGTATATAATCTAGTTTCAAATTAACAATAATTTGCAAGTAACTGAAAAATTATATTCTTTGGTTTTTAATTATATAATTTCATTAACAGCCCAGCCATGAGAGACATTAACCTTTGTCTTTTTGACTACAGGCCGAGGCAAAGTGATGCAAATCACTTGCGATCAGATGCGAGTCGCTTTCTGTATGTTCAAAACCAAAAGCTTCAGTAAAAGCAGAATGACCGCGATGTGCGGAAGTCTTTCCATTTCTGCGCTTGCTTTCGTGACCGTCACCTAGCAACGGCTGTAAACAAAACAGCAGCTGGATGACGCAAGCGTACCGGGGTTCAGGAGGAAAAAAGACAGTATGAACACAAACCAACTGAGGAGGTGGAAGGGGGAGACAATTGAACTTGGGTACGGTCCAGGCAAATAAACCAAGTGTGAAAGCACCCTCTAACACCTATATGCAGGTTATCATGCTGACTCCAATACTGAATTTGCATGTTTTGTTTAGCCATCTCCCCTCCTCCTAAGAAGACATTATAGACAGGACAATTGTCTTAATTCCGACTTGTGATAAAACTCGCAGACTGCAGACCTCCAGTAGGCTCTGCAGACACATTGACTTCTTAAAGATGCTGTACGACTGCAGATTAACCAACATGTCTCAATAAAAGAATGTCACGGTTGCAGGTTGGTGCACCTTCCGGAGTGTCTGTTTGGTCACGTGTATTTGTTATGTTCACGTGCTATGACGATACTCAGCTGTTTTGATTAGCTCGCCAGCTGAGGATCATTATCGTGGCTATATCTGGGCGACGCTTCTATGTTTCTTTTTCTGTCACAATCAAATAAAAATTCAGAGAAGGATCCAAATGCAAGTAATGAGTTTATTTGACGCAGTCAAAATGAACCAACAGGGTAGAATGTGTGTGCAAGGACAAAAGGGGAAAACAAGGCAGGAAACAGACAGACGAACGGGGTCCAGTGGTCCCTCCTCACAGTTTTGAGTACAGACACGCATGAGCAAACACAACCAACTGACAAAGAAACATAGAAGCGTCGCCCAGATATAGGCATGATAATGAGCCTCAGCTGGCGAGCTAATCAAAACAGCTGAGCATCTCCATAGCATGTGACCATAACAAATACACGTGGACAACCAAAACAAAACAAACCCACGTGACTAAACAGACACTCTGGAAGGCGCACAAACCTGCAACTGTGACAAGAAATTCTGCTTGTTTTCAGTCTCCTGGACTGGGTTCTCTTCTCTTTCCATCATTTATTTTTACAACATTTACAACAACAACATCAAAAAATCTGTTTTTTTTTTAACCTCTACATAGAGCTAAACGATTTCTAGTCCACTTACAGTCTGAGAAGAGCTTTATAAAATGGCCGAGTGAAGAAAGCGTCCAACAAATACTGATGAATCAAAGCCAGGCCGAGAATTCGACCACTGAAGCGGAACCTGAAAGCACAAGTCAAATCATGCGGTCCGTGAATTAAGCTCAAAAACAGACATACTGGCAATAACAACACTGTTTATTTCTCTGTCAATGCCAATTTAGTCATGCCACACAGGAAGTGGAATTCACTGGGAGGAAGTGGAAAAAACCTTACCATTCCAAGTGGTTCTCCACAAAAGCAGACATGGGGCTGATCTGGACTGTGTATGTGTCGTTGGCGGAGTATTCAAACAGGCCATAGTAAGGGTTAAACAGCTCCTGAGACAGCAGGAAGAAGAACTCTCGCGATGGGCCACTGTAGTCCAGACTGGGAAAAACAAGCAGAATTCAGAAAGAACTACACAGAACCACTGCATTCACTGTGTGTTCAAGCTAACTGGAGAAATATAAAGTCCAACATTGGCATTTGAAGCTAGTAACAGATTGCATACAGTTGAAGTCAGAATTATTAGCACCCCTCTATATTTTTCCCCCCAATTTCTGTTTAACGTAGAGCAGATTTTTTTCAACACAATTCTTAACTTAATAGTTTTGATAACTCATTTCTAATAACTGATTTATTTTATCTTTGCCATGATGACATTTTCAAGACACTAGTATTCAGCTTCAAGTGACATTTAAAGGTGTAACTGCTGTAGGTTAATTAGGCAAGTCATTGTATAACGATGGTTTGTTCTGTAGACAATCGAAAACAAATATGTTTTTTTATTAAAAACTGCTAGCAGAAATAAAACAAATAAGACTTTCTCCAGAAGAAAAAAATATTATAGGAAATACTGTGAAAAAATCTTTGCTCTGTTAAACATCATTTGGGAAATATTTGAAAAAGAATAAAAAATCCCAGTAGAGCTAATCATTTTGACTTCAGCTGTACATTAGCATGGGTGGTAACCAGGCCATCTGAGAGAATGAGTTTGATAACAAGCTAATTAATACAAATATTTCCGTATCATTCAAGATGTAACATGAAGCTGAAATAATACATTGATAATTACATAATTTATTTTCCAAATTACTTTAATTTTCTGCAAGCCTGTGCCAGCTCTAGAAGCTTTACTTCTTTTCAATTGCTGTTTTTATTAGATACAGTTGAAGTCAGAATTGTTAGCCCCCCTAAATTGTTACCCCTGTTTATTTTTTCCCCAATTTCTGTTTAACAGAGAGATCATTTTTTCAACCCATTTTTAAACATAATAGTTTTAATAACTCACTTCTATTAACTTATTTCTTTAATCTTTGCTATGATGACAGTAAATAATATTTGACTAGATATTTTTCAAGACTCTTCTATACAGCTTAAAGTGACATTTAAAGGCTTAACTAGGTTAATTAGGATAACTAGGCAGGTTAGGGTAATTAGGCAAGTTATTGTATATTGATGGTTGTAAAAAAAGCTGAAAGGAGCTAAAAATATTGACCATAAATGGCTTTAAAAAAATTAAAACTGCTTTTATTCTAGCCGAAATTAAACAAATAAGAATTTTTCCAGAAGAAAAAATATTATCAGACATACTGTGAGCATTTTTTATTTATTTTTTTGCTCTGTTAAACATAATTTGGGAAATATTTTAAAAAGAAAACAAATTCAAAGGGGGGCTTAATAATTCTGACATAAATGAGTAAAATGTTGACATTCATTTTATCAGGGTTTTCCACCAAACATTGATTTTGTAACCCTTCTGAAGTTCAAATACTAGTATTGTGTTGACTACAACCGAATAAACTTATTTCTGTAAACATGCCATGTTTTGTTTTATTCAAATACATCTCTGAAAGACTTAACTTTTATTTTTAATTTAGAAAAAAAAACATCAGCAATTTACTCAAATGTGTAGCTACTAATCAATCATTTTTAAGTGCTCTTTATTTACTTTCGATACTTGTAAAATAAAAAAAAACACAGGTCATCCAAGATGTAAAGAATGAAACTAAAATGATTTTAACTGTTTGACAGTGAATTAGATGTGTCTCATTAGATGTGAATTAGATGTGTCTCATTAGATGTGAATTAGATGTGTCTCATTAGATGTGAATTAGATGTGTCTCATTAGATGTGAATTAGATGTGTCTCATTAGATGTGAATTAGATGTGTCTCATTAGATGTGAATTAGATGTGAATTAGATGTGTCTCATTAGATGTGAATTAGATGTGTCTCATTAGATGTGAATTAGATGTGTCTCATTAGACGTGAATTAGATGTGTCTCATTAGATGTGAATTAGATGTGAATTAGATGTGTCTCATTAGATGTGAATTAGATGTGTCTCATTAGATGTGAATTAGATGTGTCTCATTAGATGTGAATTAGATGTGAATTAGATGTGTCTCATTAGATGTGAATTAGATGTGTCTCATTAGATGTGAATTAGATGTGTCTTATTAGATGTGAATTAGATGTGTCTCATTAGATGTGAATTAGATGTGTCTCATTAGATGTGAATTAGATGTGTCTCATTAGATGTGAATTAGATGTGTCTCATTAGATGTGAATTAGATGTGTCTCATTAGATGTGAATTAGATGTGTCTCATTAGATGTGAATTAGATGTGTCTCATTAGATGTGAATTAGATGTGTCTCATTAGATGTGAATTAGATGTGTCTCATTAGATGTGAATTAGATGTGAATTAGATGTGTCTCATTAGAAGTGAATTAGATGTGTTGCATTAGATGTGAATTAGATGTGTCTCATTAGATGTGAATTAGATGTGTCTCATTAGATGTGAATTAGAGGTGTCTCATTAGATGTGAATTAGATGTGAATTAGATGTGTCTCATTAGATGTGAATTAGATGTTTCTCATTAGATGTGAATTAGATGTGTCTTATTAGATGTGAATTAGATGTGTCTCATTAGATGTGAATTAGATGTGTCTCATTAGATGTGAATTAGATGTGTCTCATTAGATGTGAATTAGATGTGTCTCATTAGATGTGAATTAGATGTGAATTAGATGTGTCTCATTAGATGTGAATTAGATGTGTCTCATTAGATGTGAATTAGATGTGTCTCATTAGATGTGAATTAGATGTGAATTAGATGTGTATTATTAGATGTGAATTAGATGTGTCTCATTTGATGTGAATTAGATGTGTCTCATTAGATGTGAATTAGATGTGTCTCATTAGATGTGAATTAGATGTGAATTAGATGTGTCTCATTAGATGTGTCTCATTAGATGTGAATTAGATGTGTCTCATTAGATGTGAATTAGATGTGTCTCATTAGATGTGAATTAGATGTGAATTAGATGTGTCTCATTAGATGTGAATTAGATGTGTCTCATTAGATGTGAATTAGATGTGTCTCATTAGATGTGAATTAGATGTGTCTCATTAGATGTGAATTAGATGTGAATTAGATGTGTCTCATTAGATGTGAATTAGATGTGTCTCATTAGATGTGAATTAGATGTGTCTCATTAGATGTGAATTAGATGTGAATTAGATGTGTCTCATTAGATGTGAATTAGATGTGTCTCATTAGATGTGAATTAGATGTGAATTAGATGTGTCTCATTAGATGTGAATTAGATGTGAATTAGATGTGTCTCATTAGATGTGAATTAGATGTTTCTCATTAGATGTGAATTAGATGTGTCTCAGTGTGTCGTCAGGATTCACAGCTAGGCCCACACAGAATCTGCATGCGCAGAATTCCGCAGATTTTTAGCCCATCATCGAGTCTATGAATTAACTTGTGTAAATGTGTGTAAATTTATATTTATTCAGTTTTTAAATTAATTTCACTATTATTATTGTGATATGATAATAGTAATAATAAAATGTTCATATGATTTATTTACAATACAGATTGTAAATAATACTTTCTGTATTTTAGCAGATATATCATATGACAGACTTGCTTTGTTTACCAAATAAGTGGATATTATTAGATTTACATTGTAAACATTAAATGAAACAAAAAAAAAAAAATTCATATATTAGGCCCAATCCCAATTCTATTTTTGCACCCCTTGGCCCTTGAAACAGTATATAAAGGGGAAGGGCTTCAAAATTCACCTCTAAGAATACGGACAGCACTACAACACCTGCACACGTCATCATATGTCATCGCGATCTCATGCTTTATATGAGATTGTGACTGCTGGAGTTATTCCAGTTCTGTTATTTTTTAGTGTTTATCTTCAGGAAATCACTGAAGGCATATATTAAGTTAACATAACGGTATAATGTGGCAATAAGCTCATAACTGTACTGTGCATTTACACAGTGGCCATATTCATCTCCGTAAACACACCAAAAACAACATTAACATTATAGCAGACACTGTAAAAAGATAATTCTCAGCCACTAGACCAGGGCTATTCAATTAGTTTGTCATGGGGGCCCGTTCATGAAAAAGGATCCCAAACGAAGGGCCGGAGAGATATAACTTGCAATATGAGTGATGACACAACAGCATATAACAGCCCATATGCTGTATATTTTTGCTCCTTAAGACACCCATGTTGGCTTTTTCTACATTAAAATATTAATAGATTGTATTTTGAAACTACATAATATGAGTGCACTGTGCAATAGACGTTTTTTTTTTTTTTTTTTTTTGTATTTCAGAGCACAGCAAAAGCAGTGCATTGCTGAAGTGTTTTGAACTGCATAACAATTAGGCAGGCAACAATTATAGATTTTGGTTGTACGATTATATAGTCTGAAGAATAATCATGCTTTCACTGTTATCACGTCTAATGTAAATTCAAGCTTTATATTAGGTAAGTAGCTATTTAGATTAACTGTTGTTGCCATCTGCATTCATGCATACATAATCATTTTAATAATAATTTGTCTAACATATCTTTTGTTTACATTGCACTGAAAGGCACGCACAACTCTCACCGTGGGATGTTTTCTACTGCGTGCACCCAGAAAGACGCAAGTGCGTCGCTCCGCTGGCGCCCACATATTGTCATATATTCTTCCATTAGAAATAACAAACCTGCAAGCGGAAAAGCTGTGATATGGGAACAGCCGCTGCTGTAGTTAATCCTGTGTGCGTGCGTATTAGCCTCGGTGTACTTCAAACTTCAAACTAGCGCACAGGCAACTTGGCATTTTGCAGCGGTTTCGTTTCGTTCCGTGCAACAGAAATGCGGCTTAGAGAAGACTTTATGATTAATAAACTGTCACAAATTAAAGCGCAGTTAATAGTGAAATCGGTTAATCGTTGCATTCCTATTAACGATATTAGTGCATTGTACAAAAACCTTTACTACAAACATGTTTTGGGCTGCCCGCACCACTCGCTGATGATGACTCACACTCTGTGCAGCCTTTAACTGCAGCTTGTGTTGTTATTGAACAGACACATGTAACTTCATAATTATAGTGGCCGCTTGTCGACTGAACTAAATTTATTTTTGATGTCTTGGTCACAGTTTTTGGAGGGCTGGAACACAGTGCCTCGGGGGCCGGATTTGGCCCGCAAGCCGCCAATTGAATAGCCCTGCACTAGACATTTCTGACAGGGTATTTTAGTGTGAGAATGTTGTGGGACTGCTATACAGGAGTTTTTATTATGATTTATAGATAGCAAATTTTGCGTTTTTTATTTTATCATTTTTTTAAAAGCATGATGGTAAAACACGAACGCAGTTTTGAGTGTATTAAAACATGTGCTTGTTTGTTGTAAAATTTCGTAATAATGACAAAAAATACAAATTTGTGGATCTCATTACTTCCGTGTGCAGCCATGCTGTCGTTGTGGCTGGTGTATTCTGAGAAATTTTCTTACCCGTTAGTTTCAAGTGTGGTCCTTAAAAATCTCTGTTTCAAGGGGTATCTAGTCCTTCCTCTTAGCCCTACGCCTTCAAGCTAAAGAGAACTGGGACACACCTACCCCTTCCTGTGAATGCACAAAATGAGGGGTAGGGGTAAGGACTAAGGGACAGAACTGGGATTGGACCTAAGTTTGTAGTTGTGATACTCCTGAAATTATTCCGCATAAATCTTCAAAGATTTTACAAAGATCTCAGCAGAAATAGCAAATAATGTCTGCAGATTCTGTCTGGCCCTACCCTGGGCCATTGATTTGGACACATTTGTGTGTGTTTATTTTTAATTGAAAAAAAAAAAAACATTCCCTGCAATTTTATGAATCCCCAAGGATGAGGAGTTCAGCTCAAAATCATCTTTTTTTAATGTTCCACAGATGAAAAAAGTCAGCTACATATTAGATAACCTGAGGATGAGTAAACTAACAAAACAGTTTCAGTTTTGGGTAAACTATGCCTTTAATATACATCATCAACAAGACATCAGAGTTTTTTTCTTCGAATAATGCAATCTTCTCCTATGGCTGGTTTATATTTGAGCATTGTGTGGTCTATCTCACCCTTCCTCTCCCACAAAGGTAATGTACAGCTTGTTTCTCTGCAGCTCTTTACGTGAGTAGGCCATGACCTGGTTAAACGTTCCTTCTAAAAGATGATCTCTTCTGACGATCAATCTGAAAAAAAAAATAAATTAAATACAATCAAGCAACATAGTTTTCAACATTGACAATAACAATAAATATTCATTGAGCAGCAACACATTCCTGTTTGTGCTTCTTTGCATTATTGTCAATTAAATGCACAGGGTTTAATTTTCGCCACTAGAGGGTGAGTATTCACAACAAACAAAGGTGTAATTTGATGATGGTGTGACTGAGTGTGGAGGCAAACAGCATGTGGACCAAACATGGCCCTGATTTGGCAGAGGTGACAGTCTTTAAGGTGGCACACAATAACTGGGCCAGATATAAATTGTAGTATTTTGCCCAGATGTTAATAATTGATATTTGGCCCATTTAAGTTTGGCCCATCTTGATCCAAACTTTAAAAACCTTGTTAAAACCTTGTTATTATTTTCAAATAAAAATAAATCAATTCTTCCAATCAGGTCACTTCAAGACAAATCACGCCTATAGTGTGCCTAAAGCACAATGATTCATTGGTTTATCAACTTCAATTGCAGTTGTGACACACCGACATTTCTGGCCCAGTTCATGCTCAGTTATTGCTTATTAACTTGGCTAAGACTTGGCCCAGATATGGTCCATGTTTGGCCCTTGCCTGGAAGCCAGACTTGGTCCAGTCATGTACTGTTATTCACTGCAGCATGTGGCCCAAGCAAAAGCTGATTGTGTGGGCCAGCGATATTCTGCTATGTGGGTTACTACCTTTACACTTAATACTAGTATGAAGAAGAGTAAAGCTGAAAGCAGAAGTAAAACGAGAGAAACGCTGAAGCAATTGCTGATGAGAGACGAGTGACAGGAAAGCAGCAGAGCTTTTATTGTGCCAAAGTTCTCTCTTCCTATTCTTCTGCTCATGATCATGTGGATAAAAATAACACTGTTTATCAGACTGAATACATTTTAGGCTTCTGTCATAATGCTGCTCTGTGCAGTCTATTAACACACACAACATATTAAAGTGTTTCCCTCTTCTTTATAAAAACAAACCATAAATGGAGGGTGTGTGGCGTCGTTAGCATGAACACACAGCACACACTCCGTCTCACTAATTAAAATAGCTTATTCCTCTGGAATTTAACATTCTTAGAAACATTTAAAGTACACATGTTAGCAAAATGTCTACTACTGTTCCTCCAGGAACTGGCTTTGACACTTGTGCTGTAGATTCTACAGGAAATGGCTAACATTGGACTTGCTTCACCCTGAAGGGGTTTATTTTGCTATCAAACAACAAGCTGGATGTAAAATATTCCAAGACAATCTTCCACGATTAAATAATTAGACATTACTTTATATTAGTTTACTTTGCATTTATAGCATCAACATTTGCTAATCTAGACTCAAATCTACAAGATCCAATGTGATTTTGTGCTGGAATCTTGGCTGCTTTAGGGCTCTCAAAATATAACATCAAAACCACCAGTAGATGGCAGTATCTCCCAGTCTAAATGTGTGATTCTTCTCCTTTATAAAATCAAACCATAAATGGAAGGTGTGTGGCGTCGTTAGCATGAACACACAGCACACACTCCGTCTCACTAAGTGAAGTTTATGTATAAACAAATTTCGAGAGGATCACGTGCTTATGATTGCTAGCGGCTGGATCCGCATTATCTAATTAACTACGCTCCAATCAGATGACTCCTAAACTACTATAAATACCCTGGGGTTCATTCCACTGCTATTTTCGTTTTGAAGAGTCCCCCCTTCCTCCCCTACTCCTCCTTCTTAGACGGGTGACACGGTGGCCCAGTGCGTAGCACTGTCGCCTCACAGCAAGAATGTCTCTGGTTCCTGGCTTTACCAAACTAGCAGACATTTCTGTGTAGAGTTTGCACTTCTCCCTGTGCTCACGTGGGTTTCCCCCGGGTTCCCCGGTTTCCTCCCACCACCTAAAAACTTAAGTCAATTGAACAATCCAAATTGGCAACATAGACACGTTTCTAGTACGTAGTTAATTTCAAGAGCATTCACTTGCTACAGCAGGGGAGTTCTCTAGATCTACCTGAGCTCAAACTCCCTCCCGCCTTGCAACGGGAGGGAGCCCTGGGCTCGAGGATGTCATGAGCTCAGGGCTCTCTCCCGGGACAGCATGTCAAGCAAGCTTTTACAATTAATCATCAGCTAAGTGTGAACTCTTGAATTAAAATAGCTTATTCCTCTGGAATTTAACATTCTTAGAAACATTTAAAGTACACATGTTAGCAAAATGTATACTACTGTTCTAGTGGTTTTTAGATATTTTAATAAAAAAAAAATCCTTTAATTGATGATTGTGCCTTCAATTAATCATTAATTAATTGTTTGGATTTCTATTTTGCAAGTATAAGTCAGTGTTAACATACTTTATCTTCCCAGGCCCTTGCCCGTAGCCCTTTGCCTCAAGCTTCCTGTAGAAGTTGCGCAATTTGGCCTCAAAGTCTCTTCTGTACGGCGCTGGAGCCCGAGCCCTCTGGGTCCCTGAAGAGAAGAGAAATAACCATAAATCATCAACACGTGTGAAGTCCAGCATACTGCAAACACCAATCATCAGGGAATGACTGTTGAGGATCAGCTGACCATAAGAGCACTCCAAAGGGAAGTGAAGTTTGTTCTCCTTCAGAACAAACACGTGAATGGAGAGATGATCATTCTTCTCATTGTATAAAACAATAGGGATCTTTGATAATGCAGTTCTGTCTTTCATCAATTTAGGTTTCGTTTTTGATTGTGTCCAAACATGCACATTGGTTTTACAACATGAGAGGATACACTTCATGGACGTGTAAGGAAACGCTTTAGGCGGAGGTTTGAATGTTCACACACACACACAACAGGCTCGGGGTGTGTAAATGTCTGTCATGACACAGAAAGGGGCAGCTGGGTGGGACAGTTTTTGAGGTTTGAGAGCGGCTGACCTGGAGAGCTCTCACCAGACAGACAGCAGGCTGGAACGAGAGGAGTTCGCTCCAGAAAGCCTTTAGAGCAGATCAGAGTGTGTGTGAATGAACCATCACTGAACCTTGCTTTATGTCAGGTTCTTTACGTAAATAAAGCACTGAGACCAGTTTAAGTATAATGCACATCCAGAAGGTTTTTACATTGTTAACTGTTAATTACACAGTATTTAACTGTAATATGAACTGTATTTTACTGGAGGACAGTTATGCGGTGTTACTTTATTTTAAAGTCACATTGTGAAACTTACTGTACCATTACAGTAAAGACACACATACATTACTGTAAATGAATATACAGCAAGATAAATGGTGCTGTAAATGTAAATACAGTGTTTTTGCTGTAATTGATGTACAGTAAGTTACTGTAGATCAGGGGTGTCAAAGTCAATTCCTGGAGGGTTGGAGCCCTGCAGAGTTTAGTTCCAACCCTGCTTCAACACACCTATCTGTAGGTATCAAACAAGCCTGAAGGACTCAATTAGTTCAATCAGGTGTGTTTAATTAGGGTTGATACTAAACTGTGCAGAGCTGCGGCCCTCCAGGAACTGGCTTTGACACTTGTGCTGTAGATTCTACAGGAAATGGCTAACAGTGGACTTGCTTTTGGACTTACAAGCTAGTTGTAAAATTCCAAGACAATCTTCCACGATTAAATAATTAGACATTACTTTATATTAGTTTACTTTGCATTTATAGCATCAACATTTGCTAATCTAGACTCAAATCTACAAGATCCAATGTGATTTTGTGCTGGAATCTTGGCTGCTTTAGGGCTTTCATTGATTAACAAAGTATAACATCAAAACCACCAGTAGATGGCAGTATCTCCCAGTCTAAATGAGTGATTCTTCATTCAAATGATTCGTTCAAAATGGCCGATTCATTCAAAAACAAAATCAGTTCCTCTTTCTAAGGCTCTGTCCACACATACACAGGTATTTTTACAAATGGATTAATAGTTTTCCCCACTTTTTAAATTTATTTCCATTCACATGAAAACACATAAGAGCTGAACCAACAGGCGGCAATAAAAGCCTTTTTTTGCTGGGTTCATTTCAAACGGGGTATGAAGTATTTTCATCAATGCAAACATGAGAACAGAGCTGGATTACTGTCCTGCTGTGTGACAGAATACGCAATGTGTTTGCTGTGAATGTTTTGTATTTGCCTAATTCATGTCTTACGAGTTTGGTGTGAACCATGGCTTAATTTGTGCCGAAACACGCCAGATCCAAGTCCGGCATCTCTGAAATCTCATCCAGCACCTCATTTTACTGCAGTTTGCTGTTCACTTTCACTTTCTTCCGCGACTCCCAAACCCTCTTCACTTTCGTCTGCGACAACCCCTCGTTCTTCCCTTTCACCCGCGACACTTCTCTACCATCCAACGACAACCCCAAAACACCTCTCCATCCTCGGGTAACATGCCGGATGCATTACCCTGATCTGTTCCGGAACCTCGCAATTCACAAATTAAGCAGTGGTGTGAATGCAGGGATTTTGGCCAATCAGAAAGGAGAAAGCAGCATGCACACTGACATCATGAGACAAGAACTGCACCCAGAGTTTCTGAAAGTTTTCACCTTGGCTGGAGTTTTCAGAAAGTTTCAGTCACCTGATACTCGGCTTTTGTATGGACAAACTGCGAAACCACATAGAAGAAAAGTAGGCTTTTGAAAATACCCATGTTTGTGTGGACAGGGCCTGACAAGATAATCAACAAAACACTGCAGTGTTGTGCAGAGACGCACCAATGTTCTGCTCAAGTGTTTATATTCATTGAACAAAAAAACAGTTTGTAGAACTTTTGCACTTAAATGAATATCACATTTGTGTAAACAGCACTCTTCCTCGTGTGAAATTACTTTACTATGTTACACCATTTTAACAAAAAAGTCAGACGGATTTTTTTAACGGTAATTATAAGGTTGTTTTCACTGCATTCAAAAAGACGTGCTCACACAGTGCCTTCAGACTCTCAAGACATCTTTTTATTTGTTTGTTATTTTGCAAAGACTGATATAATTGATATTGTAAGCTCACACATTGTAGATCATAAATATTACATACACACCAGTTCCCATTACGTTCTGCATGCTGGTGACTTTGATTTAGAATGTTTACACCACATGCAAATAAGACATGAACTTGAAATTATCACATAACGTTGTCTTGAATAAAACATAAATAAAAGAGTGTCCGATTAAAGCTCTTGGTCGACTCACCTGGAGAGTTCTGGGGAGAAGAACCAGGAGAGCAGCGAGGTGAAAAGTTGAACCCGGGGTGAAATGATGCGAGAGGAACGTAAGACATGATGTCCTCCTCAAACAAACTGAAAAACAAATCAAAACACATTCAGGGAAAAAAAAACATGTAACTAATTGTTTTTAGTCACATGACCTGTGCAAATACCTGGCGGCGAAAAAAACAAACAATGAGCCAAAATGGCAGCTACACTGGGATTTCCATAGAAATGCAGCACAAACCGGTCATATTTCCATCTGTTTCAAGATATGGATTTGGATCACAAATCAACAGAACAATGTAAATTGTGAGCACTTGCGATCCATATACTGCACCAGCAGCCATTAGATATCCCTCAGCAGTTTAATCATTAGTGATGCCGTTATAGCACATAAGTGTAGTGTCGGTTTTATTTACTAATATTTGCTATTAATATTATCTATTAGTTAATTTCTGCTATTTATACTTTTAAATTTTGCATTTTAATTTAAACTTTAGTTTATAGGTGGGCATAAATTAATTTTTAAATCTAGATTAATCTCACTGTAATCTTGGAATTAATCTAGATTAAAATGGCTCATTTGAATTCTGCCGAATAGAATATGAATTCAGAATATGTGTGCTAGCCGAATAATGACTAAAAGTAAGTCTTTAAGAACGGGTTTCCCAAGCCAGGTGGCGCATTAGACCAGGGGTTCATCTCCTGTTTTCAAAATGCATCACAAACTGCTTGAGAAACTGTTCTACTATGATAATTGGGGATGAAAATAAATGATGTTCAATAAGATGTACTTGTGTTTACTAACTGCCTTTTCAGTTAATGATTGAATTAAAACATGAATTTTGAACTGTTGGCCTACATAAGCTCCAAACAGCAATTTTTGATCACCTTAATCCGACTAAAGTCATAACTGAACTAAAAATAGAAATGAAATTAAGACATGTGGAGTATGCAGATATTAGTGGCATTATTGAAGTAAACACCGCAGTCAAACTATTACCGTCATGTAGGACTTTTTACCATATTTTCCCACAAGATCCACACACGCAGCTGTCAGTAAAGAACTGCACACGCACACACATAAACATTGCGAAATGTGGAAGTTTTTTCTTTCCATTTAGCGTGCGTTAATAAATTTCATAACACTCTCACCAGTCCTTACTCCTTATTTGCGTCTAATACCCCAGTTTGTCACGGGGGCATGAATGAAATGTTCATGAGTTAAAGTGAAACTTCAGTTAAAGTCACCCAAAATTACAGGAAACTCTAACATGAAAGCACTTCACGTAAACACCTTAATTAAATTATTGTCTATTAAGACAAATAACTAGATTACAGATGTACATGTAAGCGTAGTCAGTAGTGTGTTAGAACAAAGTGAACGATCCAGAAGGGCATGCTGCTGACTTGGGCACTTTTTTAGTCATACGGCTCACCGGGCAGGTATACATCTGCGCTAAAATATCAAAGTGAAAGTCATCATAGCTTGATAGAATAGACTCAGCTCCCAACCCAACTTTGAGAATAGATTAACATCGATATTTTTTTTTTATCGCGCGATAAAAGTCTCGCGTTAACGCCAATAACGGCCCACCACTACTTTAATTGCATTTGACCTGCAAATAAGGTATAGAAACTGTATAAAAAGCACACATAAATGCACTGACAGTTATAGGTAGCATAGATTGTTATAGGTCAGTGATGCTAACATGCAGTACAAATCCATAAATTTCTCCTTTCTGGTTGTTCTTTTTCTGAAGGAAGTCTGCCAAAGCACAGCTCAGTTGTGTCTCCTTGTCGGATAGTAATGCTATATCTTATTGGACAACAATTATCAATTTTTTGGGCAAAAAAAAGATAAATTACTCAGCCTGTGACTTGGCAGTCAACTTGAAATAGTAATGTTTTGCCCGCCAGGGAGGAGTATTCCCCCAATGGTGTGACGACATGTGAAAACGATCAATAGAATATACTTTTCCCCTTCTCACCAATGCAATTTTAATACAGTGTGGTTTGTTTTTCGAGTAAATCTGGATGTTTTACCTTAACAGCATGACCAGGTCAGCATCACATGACAGCTTCTCCAGTCTCTGTGTGCCTTCGGTTCGGATGTGATGCACTTTATCCCTTAAGAAATAAACAGTGCCGAAAAATCTCAGACTTGTTTGAAGGTGCCAATGATGTATTTGATAATCGTAACAGATGAATTCGTATGGTCATACTTGAGTGAGTGATTCCTGGCAAAGCTGGGCTGACGCTCCTGTAGCACCTCGAAGATGTTTGGTTGCCGTAAAAATGCTACAATTTTATCATTGTACGCTGGAACGAAGAAAACACTCATATTAAATCAACAATCATCTGAAATCCATGAGCTTCTTTTGATGGTTATTCAGGAAATTGACAACAGCATGAATATTATGTTTTTTTAACAATTAATCAAAAAATGACAACAACATTTCAATTGTAATCCTAAAGAATAATTCAACACTTTTCAGCTGTCTCATGACTTTAGATTTTTGTATAAAGTCTGTTTAATCTTCAAAACAACAATAGATCAGCAAAGTCCTGTTTTAAACAATGTTTCTGTCAATTATTTATCACTAAAGTGACTAAATGTTTTAATAAAATGATGTTTGGTAAATATTGATATCTGTAACCTTGCATTCATGTATTAGTACTTTTATGTTAAATAATCAATGAAATATTGCATTCCAAGATTTATTGAAAACACAGATTATTAACAAGTATTTTTTTACTGTATTATACATGAAATATTTGAATTAAACCTTTAAAAGAGCAAATTAAGCATTGTTAAAAAGTGAATATTAGATACTGTATATACTACTATTAAATGTTTTAAAAGTTTTTTATGCTTATCAATTTGACCAAAAATAGTAAATACTGATATAAAAAATAAAGAGTTTTGGAAAAATATATATCTTAAAATTAATTATTTCATAATAATCAAAAATGTTTTTTATATCAATATTTACTATTTTTGTCATAATGATAAGCATAAAAATATTAAGCAAAATATGTAATATTGTTCCAAAACACTTTTTATATCAATATTTACTATTGTTGTCATTATGATAAGCATAATAGTATTAAATTAAAATATGTAATATTGTTCCAAAACACTTTTTATATCAATATTTCAATCATTATACTAGTTTTTGTCATATTGATAAGCATAAAATATTAAGCAAAATAAGTAATATTGCTCCAAAACACTTTTTAATATCAATATTTACTATTTTTGTCAAATTGATGAGCATAAAAATATTAAGCAAAATATGTAATATTGTTCCCAAACACTTTTTATATCAATATTTACTATTTTTTGTCATATTGATAAGCATAAAAATATTAAGCAAAATATGTAGTATTGCTCCAAAGCACTTTTTTATATTAATATTTACTGTTTTTGCCAAATTTACAAGCATAAAATATTAATTTATAATGTTCTATTAATCCAAAACTATTTTTATATCAATATTTACAATTATTGGTCAAATTGATGAGCATAACACGTTTAATCAAAATATGTTATATTGATCCAAAACACTTTTTATATCAATATTTATATTTTTAGTCAAATTGACGAGCAAAAAATATATTAATCAAATATGCTAAATCATTCCAAAACACTTTTTTACAGCAATATTTACCATTTTTGACAAATTTCCAAGCATAAAATATTCATCAAAATATGTTGTATTGTTCCAAAACATAAAAAAACTTTAAAATCATTTAATAGTAATATATACAGCATATTGTGTTTTATCCACTTTTTCCTTAAAAAACTTCCTGAATAAAACAATTTCTGAACAAATGCACAGCATAAACATGTTAGCTCTATTGCCCAGCTCTAAGTGCAGTCATACCAGTGAACTGTTGATTAAATGTGGTTTATACCTAATGGCACAGGCTCCTGCTGGCTTTGGTTTCGTATGGCTGCTACCAGGCTGTTTCCAGGCCTGGCTAACAAAGACACCCCTCGGGTGCGCGACACCTCAGATGCCTGAACACAAATAAATACACCAACATTGATATAATTGCAACTGACATTTATGTGCTGTTTATGTGTTGCTTGAATTTCATTCTCACTTGTTTTCATTCACTCCTTTAAGTGGACTATATTAGTCAACCCAGGCACATTATTGATTCGTACCCCTGCATACATGTCAGGACAGTGTGTAACACATCCCAGGGGCTCCGTTTTTTTGCATTTTATTTTTTCGCGAATCCATCAGAGGCCGCTGTGCACCTTTTTTGAGATCTCAAATTTCTCTTGTGAGTGCCATTCACACCTGCTCTTCTCACGTGAATCCACAAGAGGCCGCTGTCGACTGACTGACTGACTCATCGACTGACTGACCCCCCCCCCTTCTTCCCTAACCCAACCCATAGTATTTTCAAAAGCAGACCAGAAAAAAAAGCCCAAGCGGCCGCCTGATTTTTACCACGTTTTCAGATTTTACCACATTCTCACCCTGTTAATACTTGTTTATTTTATTATTTGCCTTTTGTTTTACCTGCTTTCTGGAATTGTTCTTCGCTGGACTTGAACCCAATCATCATGGTAAACTTCGTTCTACGTCTCAAGTTTGCCAACGTACGCAGCAAGCAACATAGCTAACTGTTAACAGCGGAAAAGCCATTCATACAAAAGGTAAGCAGTCAGCTAGTAACGCGAAAAGAAACGAAGCTGTGAGCGGCGTCATACCACTGTTACAATCCTGTTTGTCTTGTCTCATCTATTTTTTTTTTTTTTTTTTGTTTGTTTTGCTTAGAACACATCTAATTGGCCACTTCCAGCTTGCTTGTTGCGCCTGATTGGCCTACAGTGTTTTAAAAAGCCATGACACTACTTCCTTGGCAGCCATCTTGTTTTTGGTCACTTGCTTTGTGTTTGTTGAAACGTTTGTATGTGGTATAGTGCAGAGTTTTTGGATGTGTTAAGACTGGGAATATTGAGATTTGTGAGTACTATTTGTTTTAGTGTTTGCTTTGTTTATGATACTTTGTTCCGCTGGCTTGTTTGACCTTTGTTGCCTGCTGACATTGATTTTGGATTGTCCTTCAAATATGGTTGCCTGTTTTTGTAAATAGTTTGTAAATAGTGTATATATATTGGGATAGTAAGGAGTTTGACGCCATTTTCTTTGTAAAACCTCTGTTTTTGTGTTAGATAGTTAGGGTAGTGAATTGTACTTTCTTTTATTTTTGATCAGGTAAGTTAGAGATTTAACATGAAGGAATTTTTGTTTGTTTTTTTGGCCTTGTCAGCTCCAGAATTCAAACCCCAATAAATCTTTGACTTCATTTTTGTTGTCTTGTCTTTCATGTTGTGCACCATCCCTAGACGGTGCATAACAACACACCGCAGCATTCGTATTAAAGACGAAATGGAGCCATATGTACCTCTGGCTACATAATTCATGTTTTCCAGAAATGTATACAGGGTGCAATTTCACAATGAGCCTGTGTTGATATTAGTGGTCCAAGTAAGGAATCGCGAATGAGGATATGGTGGTCAATTTTGGATAAAGCATTTTATTTATAATGCAACACTATGGGATTTCCTGAATTTTTTCATCATGGGTGTTTGGAGTTTCCGTGAGAGAGAGCACCTTTTGGAGGATATGTACTATGCATTGCAGAGAATATATTAATTCTGAGAAAACAGCATTTAAGATTATGATTGGAATCTAAGTGTGATAAAAGAAACATTTTAAAGTGTAGTTCAGATGTTTTATTTACATTAGACTGAAAAAAACTACATTTTGTTTATTTTTAATATAAAGTAAATTATTTATGTGTAATATTTAGTTCATTTTTTCAAAGCACAAAAAAACGGTCATTGATTTTGGCGCATTGAGTGCTCAAAGTCATTCGTTGAGTTCTTTAAGTGGACTATATAAGTGGACTAAGTAGGGAATAGTGAATGAGGGTGATTTTGGATACAGCACAAGTATGTCTGACCTCTCCTGCGCTGTAGCTGCGTAATCTCTGCAGGTGCTGGCGGTGCGTCAGGTGGTTTGGTAATCTGCCGTTTTGCAAGGGGATTCTGGGATCGATGAAGGTTGTGGCACGACTGTTGTGGTCTACAAAAAATGACTGCAAAGGAAAGTGGACGTGAAATAATGGTTGAACTGATAGGAGCTCCCGTAATGAAGTGTGTCCTGTAGTCTACCTTCCCCTGCGGGTCAGTTTTGATCTCCCAGCCGCGCGGCAGCTCCAGCTGAGCGTCTGCAAACCTGTTCAGAAACGTCACCAGGTCACGATTGTGCTGGTAGCGCTCAAAATTTCGAGCATCTCGTCGAATTTTCAGGACCATGTGTTTCAGACACGAGCTGTTGGTGAACATTCGATATGCACCCTGGGGGGAAAAAAGAATATTTAAAAAAAAAAACAACTAAATAACATTAAATACTAAATAAAATAACAACTTAAACTAAAAGGGTTCGTTTTTTTGTAAACTGAGATGTAACCATCATATGAAAGCACAAGTAAATAAGCTTTCCATTGATGTATGGTTTGTTAGGATGGGAAACTACATACAACTAACCAAGATACAACTATTTGAAAATCTGCAATCTGAGATAGAAAAAATAATCATTTTGAAATGTGTCAGTCTAAATGAAGTGCTTAGCAATACATATTATTAATCAAAAATTAAATGTTAATATATTTGCAGTAGGAAATTTACAAATTGTCTTCATGAAACATTATATTTAATATTCAAATTCTTTTTGGAATAAATTAAAAATCAATAACTTTGACCTACAGTATATAAAGTGTTTCAGGCTTCTGCCTACAAGTATATCTGTGTACCATAAGACTTCATATGTGGTCACAAATTAATAGAGACTTTAAAAAATAACTGAACACATCAAATTAAAACATTATGTTAAGTTACAAATTAAAATGAAATAAAATAAAATACAAACAAACAAATACAACTACTAATAAAACTAGGGTAGCGAATCATTTTGATCCGCTTATTTGTTGCTAAAATATGTTTTTCTTAGATTTTAAAGAATATTTTTATGGAAACCATGATTTATTTTAGCAGGATTCTTTGTTGAACAGTAAGCTTCAATGTGTACTTGTAGGTAACCAGTCTATGAAAGAAATGAAAGGATTAGTTCACACAGAAATGAAGATTCTGTTAATAACTACTCACTCTCATGTTGTCCCAATCCCCTGAGACCTTCATTCTTCTTCACAACACAAATGAAGATATTTTAGAAGAATTCCAAGAGCTCTCTCATCTCAACATTGCTGTCTATGGAGGACGAGAGAGCACCAGGATTTTATCTAAATTAACTTGTGTTTCGAAGATGAACAAAGGTCTTGGGGGATTGAAACAACATGAGAGAGCGTAATTAATCACAGAATTATAATTTCTATGTGAACTAACACTTTCATAACATATAATATTCAGTGTGGTGAAACTCACATAATTAGCGTGGAGAACAGTGAAGAACTCTGGGTGAGTGATGAATTTGACCGCTGGACTCTGTAACAGTAACGTAATCTTCTGACAGTGGCCTGGAGAACATGAGGTGTCTCTCCTCAACTCTTAAAAGACAAAAAGAACATAAAAAAGGCACAGAATAAAAAATCCAGCCTATAGGCTCTTGTTAACACTTCTAAACAGCCAAACCTGCAACATTTACAATATTCACAGTTCCATCTTAACATCTTTCAGCATCTAGTGTCCTCTGTAGTACAAACAAATGTGTTTTCCACACCAGAAACACCAAACCAGATTTCAAAAGGTTAAAATCTAAAGTTACTGACTTTATCATTGCTCATTCTTCCTCAAAGAAAGTTATAAAATAGGTTTATATACGTGAAGTAATTATTTAAAAATTGTATTTGGCAGCCATAAGATTCTGTCGGTAACATGTTACTTGAAGGGGGGTTCATAAGACATCATAAGTCATCAAACCTTTATAATCATGACATGACATTTTTATAGATGCTTATGACAACTGTTATTAAGTGTCATTTGCTTAGTTGTGCCATTTTAAATGCACATATGACAATATTTGTTATGACAACTTGATATAAACAAATACATCATCTTTTATCATAACTCAACATTACTAAGACAACATAACTTGTCATAAACCTGTCATAAACATGAATGTCACTGTCACAAGAAGGGACTGGCACCAGAGATGTAAGTATAACATGACAAGTTTAAACAGAACTCAATGTAGCTGAAGTGCAGGAAGAAGATGGATGACCAGATGGATCAGGGTGACCGGAGGATAATGCTGAGAAGCCAGGAACACAGATATACGGACATGGGGATCGACGACAACCAGGGGAGGGAACAGGAGAAACCGGACTAGGAACAAGAGATGCAGACACAGGAGATCACAGGGAACGATAGAGGTACGTAAACTTGGAAATAGCCTAAATAATACCGACTGTGAGGAGAGTGTGGTCCACCGTATTAGCAACGAGGCCGGTCAGTGAGTGAGGGCAGGTGAGGGTATTTATGGTGCTGGAGTGATGAATGGGAATGAGTTGCAGGTGAGGTGCTGATTAGTACTCAGGTGACAGTGATCAGGGTGCTTGAGAATGGGGAGAACCTGGTCTGGCTGTCAGTCGCGAGGCATAGGTCTACTAAAGGAGGTCGAGCCTTCTCATTTATGGCTCCTAAACTCTGGAATAGCCTTCCTGATAATGTCTGAGGCTCAGATACACTCTTGCAGTTCAAACTAGATTAAACACCTATCTTTTGAGTAAAGCATACACTCAGTGCATCACATAACAGTATGATCCACGCAGGTGAGTGGGTTTAACAAACCACCACACTCCTCCTGTCTTAATGCACCTGACATTTTGTTAGACACACTCAAATGCTGTATATGTTTGCTTCTATGTCTGTTTATATAACTACTATTTTCATTTATGGTACTTAATTTTTGCATTTCGTGTTTAAATACACTATAAACAGCAGTGATGACTGATTAATGACGAATTGTCATCTTTATATTTCCACTTGGGGATACTCATCCCAAGACCTCTAGATATTGTGCAGAGCCACTAATGCAATCAAAGACCTGTGAAGAAATGATGCCAAGGTCTCCATAATCCTAGACCAGGCCGTATCCTGAGGAGATGCTGCGGCTGTCATGGAGGAGCGATGACCATGAGACTGATTCCTGAAGGACAGCAGTGACAGACGAGTCTCTGCATTGATCCCGTAGGCCAGTCTGAACACCCGCCGGTGCCCTACTCACACCTGCAACTTCTCCACAATGGAAGTTCAGCGTTCTCCAGCCTCCGGTGTCTAGACTGCAGCTCTCCACAGGAAGTTTGGCCAGAGGAGAAATGGTCGTTCCCAACTGAGCCTGGTCTCTTCCGAGATCGTTTTTCCTTCACTTTTGTCAATTGGTGAAGTTTGTTCCTCGTCACTGTCGCCACTGGCTTGCTTGGATTTGGGACTCGTGGATTTGCTCTTCAGTGTTTGAACTTTCTGACACAGTTTTAATTTACTAGAGCTTCTATGTTAAGCTGCTTTGACACAATCTACATTGTAAACATGCTATAATAATAAATGTAAATTAAATTAATTATAATTGTGTCAAAGTTCATGGTCACATTTTCCAACCCAGGCTCATTCTGAAAATGTAGTCCAGCGGACGTTTCTGGAGACCGCGAAATACGTCCCGGGAGGTACGTATTTGTGCAGTTTTTGTTTTTGCGAATCTGCGAGAGGCCGCTGTGTGCGCTTTTTCGTATCTCGAACGTCTCTCGCGAGTGCCGTTTGCGCCCGCGCTGTTCTCGCGTCAACCCACCAGAGGCCACTGTCTGACTGACCGAATGATTGACCGGCCAATTGGCTGACCCACCCTCCTCCTTCCCTGGACCCAACCAGTTTTACCAATTGACCCGCCCGCCCGCTCACTTCCCTAAACCCGAGCAACAATTTAGAAAAGCCGTCTAGAAGAAGAAAAACCCTCGTCTGTTTTTTTTTTTAACCACGTTTTCGGATTTCACCACGTTCTCACCCTGTTATGAACTCGTTCGCTTTATTTTTTGGATTCTGTTTTTGTCTTACCTGGTTTCTGGAACTGCTCTTCCCCGGACTTGAACCCGGACGCCTTTGTCAACTCCTCCTCTCTGCATCTGAAGTCCGCCGACGCACACGATGAGCTGACCGGACAAACTGACTGCGGCGGGAAAGCCCTCCACACGGAGGTAAGCGGTCAGCCGGCAAGCGCGAAAGGAAACAGCGTCACACCGCCTTATAGCGTTCGCTTAAAAAAATGAAATGCAGCTATACGTACCTCGGGACATATTTTGCGGGCTCCAGAAACGTCCACGGGACAACGTTTTCAGAATGAGCTTGGGTAGACATTTTCAGTGGAATAAACTCTTCTTCAAATCTCTCATTAAAAGTGTCTTTACTATGTCAATGCATTTTTAAGAGCATCATTATTATTTAATGACATTTTAATGACAAATTCAGCTTGTAGCACTGTGGTTGAGGTCAAAACAATATATTAATGATGCTGTTATAAAATTCACGACACTTTTATAACGGCTTTATGACAGATTTATGACAACTTTTGTTGTCTGTAATGTCAAGCTGTCATGACAAATACAAAAACAGATTGTGATGTATTTGTTTATGTCAAGTTGTCATAACGAACTAAGTCATCTTTGCATTTATAATGTCCTATGTGAACACCCCTTCAAGTAAAGTGTTACTATACAGTCTGTATTTGTAATACACAATCGAGCAGCGTTGACATGTGGAATCTAGATTAGGAAATTAGGATAATTCTGCAAATGGGTTTAAACATTGTAAATGGTGTTTAATGGGGCTGAGAAAATCACTCTCTAATTGGTAGCTGGAAGCATATCAAAGGACCTAGATAAGAGCGTTATGCATTGAATAAAATGCGCACACAATAAACAAAAACAAACAGGCTGCGACTGCGAATGCTTTTCACCCTTTTAACTGAACAGGACGAACGATCATTATGTGTGATGTGTGTGAAGTCACCGTTTGTTTGCAGAGGTGAGTCTGTCTCAGTATTGGCTGTTCTGTCATTACGGGGGCTTCCTGATTCCTCTTCTCTCCTCTCGGTGGCCATCGTCCTCTGGATTGTCTGATACCTGATGAGGACACAGGTTTGGCTTTTATTAGACACTTATGTCAGTACAGCTTTTTGTCAGGACTCAATTGAAATATTTATACCCAACATACAAAACTTGGTAATTTGAAGAATGCTGATTAATGGCACACATTGACTTCCATGGTCAATTTTTCCTATTATTGAAATCGATCAACCAACATTCTTCAAAATATCTCGTAAAGATTTAAAACCACATGAGGGAGAATAAATTGAGTTTATTTTTGGGTGAACTATCCCTTTAAATCTTCATCGGATGAGTCTAAGGCCGCATTTACACTGCACTGTTTAAGTGACTCAATTCCGATTTTTTTCTCCCAGGTGGGACAGATCATATATAGCCCATGTACGCAGGAATAAAACACATGTGTTCCGATTTACTCAAATCAGATTCAGGGCTGTTCATATGTGGACATTTATCTGATACGAGTCGGATCTGTGTTCTCATGTCTGCAGTGTAAGCAGGTAGATCGGATTTTCACCTGTGAATGCGAGTCACGCGTCATTAAAACCGTAGCGAATGACGTCAAGTTTGACACTATCTTTTCAGAACAGACTTCAGCAGAGTCCCAAACCTTAAATCTCACACACGAGGACTTAAACAGCTTTTATATTGTCATATAGCACAGGTATTTCAGCATGTTAACAAGAGCGAGAGAGTGCAATGTCCGCCGCGTAACCAATATAAACTAATATAAAACTAGTGCATACATCACGTGCATAAATCATGCCATGGACATTACATTAAGATGCATAAAGGTTAAAAAAAGCTGATATATCAAAATAAGATGAACAAATGAGAACCTTTCTGTCATAAACTATAGTAAATCAGCTTGCCAAAAGCTGCGAACAGATTACATACATGAATATAGGAAAGAGCACTCTTTAATTATAAGCGGTCAGTCAGCGCCAGCTCTTTTTTATTCCTGGTCATTGCACCTTTGATGTGTGCTGTGTAAATGCAGACGATCGGATAAGAGTCACTTTTAAAAAATTATTTTAGCAGGTCATCAAAAACATTAGATACAGTCACAAAATCAGAATTGACCATCAAGATCTGCTGTGTAAATGCAGCCTTATTGAGCAGATCTGTATTCCAGGTTATTTTGTGAAAATATACAAAAAAAAAAAAAAAAAGAGCAAAAATTTGTTTGATCTACAGTAATAAACCCACAAAAAAGATCATTTGAAGAATGCTGATTGATAGCACCCATTGACTTTTTTCCTATTATTGAAGTTGATCAACCACCTGTCCCGGTCACACAAAACAGACAAGGATGGTTATCTTTTACGCGTATCTATTCAAAACAATTCAGATAATCCACTTTATTAACTCAATTTAAACTTTTGGGTGAACTTGAGTTCAATTCAGTTGATCTGTATTCCAGGTTATTTTGTAAAAGTGTGCAAATAATTATAAGAGCAACAACTTGTTGGATAATAATAATAATAATAATAATAATAATAATAATAACAATAATAATAACAATAATAATATCAATAATAATAACAATATCAATAATAATAATAATAATAATAATAATAATAATAATAATAATAATAATAATAACAATAATAATAACAATAATAATATCAATAATAATAATAACAATAATAATAACAATATCAATAATAATAATAATAATAATAACAATAATAATAATAACAATAATAATAATATCAATAATAATAATAATAATATCAATAATAATAATAAAATCAATAATAATAATAATAATAATAATAATAACAACAACAATAACAATAATAATAATTATATCAATAATAATAATAATAATGCATTTAATTTATGATGTGCTTTTCTCAAAGTCAAAGCAATAAAAGCTATACAATTACAAATAAAAATTACAAGCTTGCATAAAATTCCAGTAAGAAGCCTGTAGTAATACCGCAATAATAAAACAATAAATCTAAAGTAATTAAGCAACTGATCTACAGTAATAAACACACAAAAAAAAGATTATTTGAAGAATGCTGATAGATGGCACCCATAGTAAACTTTTCCTACTATTGAAGTCAAACAACCAGCATTCTTCAAAATATCTCATAATTGAGGTAAAAAAAAAAAAAAAAAAAAAAAGTATAGAATAACAAAAAAGAGCAATGGCTGATGCCCAGTGTTGTTTACCTCCTGTTGAGCTGCTCCATCTGTTGGACGGATCCAGACCTGCGTAGGCCGTCCGGCGTGGCTGCAGATGTGGGTCTTTGCCAAGTGGTGGTCCGGTTAATGTGATCCACATAAAACACACGACCGTGACTGTCGATCCGGGCCTCCCAGTCTGAACGAGCCAAACAAAACCAAAACATTTGACGCTCAAAATTAAGCTTAGCATTTAATATACACTGCGGGTCAAAAGAAGCCCACTATGCTCATCAATGCTGCATTTATTTAATCAGAAATGATTAATAAATATCATATAAATACATAAATATTTAGCAAAAACATTAATAATATCACTGATTCCAATCATTGATGATATCAAAAAGCGGTATTGAGTCTACATTTATCTAATTAGGTCATCATTTAATGCCTTTGTACATTTGTTTTTACTTCGAAAATCCCCTCAAATGTAGGAGGTTTGATATTTGAGTCATTTTGTGGGAACATTACACAAACACATACGTATGTACACACACACACACTCCAGCAGATAAAAGAAGTGGCAGACGGCTGTGGTGTACTTTAAAGTGGTTCCTGCTGAATTGCCGTTGTTATGACGGTAATCAGAGGTGAAATCTCGGTGTGTGGGTTAGTAAGAGCCAGGCTGCACTACTACTATCTGATGTGAAAGTTGATCTTGTGTCGATTGGTTGCAGTGTGATTATAGACTGCTTTGAAATGCAACAGGAAATATGTGAAGTACACCAGGTTAAACTGATACATTTAGTAGATGGGTTTACCATTTTGATCTGCAGTGTTTATTTTTCAATCACAACCCCATATGGGTCAATCTATAAACTGCTTTAAAGGTTTCTGAAATTTGGTCATGAATTATTAGATGACACTGGACCCTGTATAATACACTCGATTTTAATAGTTTATTCATTTATTTACCTTATTTATGAGAGTTCGCAACAGTGAAATAAACCACCAACTATTCCAGTATATGTTTTATGCAGCGGCTGCCCTTCCAGCTGCAACCCAACGCTGGGAAACACCCTTACACGCTCACAGTCCCACACACACTCATACATTATGGCGAATTGTTGTTTTACCCAATTCACCTATAGCGCATGTCTTTGGACTGTGGGGGAAACCGGAGCACATGGAGAATGTTGAATAATAACTCATTTAAATAGTCAAATTAACTCAAAATAAGTGAGTTTGTTAGGGTATACAAAATACTTATTTTTAGCAACAGCAGTAGTTTTAATGGTTTGGAAAGGAGTCTCTAAGTCTGACTTTGGCTGCAATATTCCTAAATTCAAAATACACAGAATAAATATTTTTTTATTACTCAAATATCTGTGATTCGAAGCTATATTTTAGTATCACTTTTATCGTATTCAGTGTCACATGATCCTTTAGATATTGTAATAATTTGTTAATAACTGGTTTGATGACCAAGAAACTATTATTAGAATGAACAGGGTTCATACACATTTGGACTTTGCTAAGACATTCAAGTCAATTTTCATGACCTACTGTTTCATCTAATGTCTACATATACATGGTAAATCATAAGAAACGTTAACATTTATTACAAAATATCATAAAACATGCAATAGTTTCTATTTATTTTATATCTATGTAAAACAGATGATGCTTACACAGAACTAATAATGTAAGAATGTCTTTTTGGCCAAGAAAAAAAAAGAAGTAAAGACCTTTTCAAGAAAAGAAAAGAAGTAAAGGTTTTTTTTCTTCACTCCCATCAGGTGAAGTTTTTTTTCCCTCTCCGCTGTCGCCACTGCCTCGCATGTTTCAGGATTGGTAGAGCTACGCATCGATGAATTTGCTCTTCAGTGTTTGAACTCTCAGTAATGATAAATCACACTGAACTGAGCTAAACTGAACTGAACTGAACTTAAAACACTAAAACCTAAACCACACTGTTCCAGTTACTGAACCACACTGTTCCAGTTACTATGACCATTTATGTGAAGCTGCTTTGACACAATCTACATTGTAAAAGCGCTATACAAATAAAGCTGAATTGAATTGAATTGAATTGAATTGAACTCCATTCAAACCTCCTTTCAAATAGACGGACATTTTGTCACCTTGGAATCATAAGGCTCTATCTGCGTTCTGGATGATTTTTTGAGATATTGTGCTTCAACGTTTTCTGCATTCCATAGCAAACAGTATGTGTGTCTTAAAATGTAAACAACTTATAAAAAACATCCCATAATGTAAATAAGCTGTCATTTAATATGAATATGTCTATAACTCAATTTTGACAAAATGTCACATAGAACTTTATAATTCTAAGGTGACGATTTGTCCAACTAATTTGAGATAATCTTAATAGTTTGTTTAACTAGTAATAGTAGGTAAAACAACTTCTATTATAAAGCCGCGATCACACTGCACTATTCGTTCCATTGACTTCCATTTATAGGCATGCAAATGCGGCAGACCAGAAATGCAGGCACGTGCGACAAGCTTCGCATTTCACTGCTTTCGGAAGTTCAAGCTTGGTGAATTTTTACCTGCAAAATCACATTAGGTGATTGCATGAGACTAATAGAAGATCATTTAAAATAAGAAATTTAAAATATGGAGCGATTGCTTAATTTTATTAACAACTAATCATATTGTTTAAGCCCGCCTTTTTTGCAGCACCGTACGACAGAATTTTGCAAGCACAAGCTCTAGTGTGACTACAGCTTAAGTCACTTAGGACAAAAATATCTGCTAAATGACTAAATGTAAATGTAATTTCCATGACTTTTCCAAAAACCTTGTGGCTTTTTCTGTTTTACCAAAACTTTTCCAAGCCTGGAAAATGCCATGTCAAAACGTTTCCAGGTTTTCCATGACCGTATGAACCCTAAATGAACGTTGAAGACAGTTAGTTAGTTAACATCTTTTGATGAGCCAGCAAAAAACTGTATTTATTAGTAACCAAAATCTTTTGTAACATCATACATGTAGTTATCGATACTATGATGAATTGAATCAGTCTTTGATAAATAAAAACATATCACATTATTACTTATATATGCAAAAATCACTTTTATAAGGCGTTTTTATGCAGTTGTAAATATAGCCAACTTGTAATAATAAACATTTCTACATTGTATTTTTTTATAATCAGAATCAACTTGCAGAAACACATTCTCCCTTTGTACGTGTCATCAGAGGGGGAAAGCCCCACCCACTAGTGATGACCTCTCCCTAATTAGCATAGAACGTTAGTCTTGTTTTTGACTCTGCCACTATGCTGACACAAAGGCATTTGTAGCTCCGCCCTCTTTTGAAAAGAGCCCAGTCTCATTTGAATTTAAAGTGACAGTCCCCAAAACGGCACAATTAGGATCAAAAGGGTTTCAAAGAGTTATAAAACTTTATCTGTGGGGTTTTTTTGAGATTCACATAAACACTCTAGAGACTTATTTACATCTTCTAAAAAGGGGACATAATAGGTCCCCTTTATATTGTAATGCAAAAACAAAACAACTTTGATCTACTTTTTGATTTAGAATATATTACTTTGTGAACCTACAGCTCGTTCACCTGTATTCCCTACTCAAAAAGGAGCATTTTGTATGACTGTGAGTGTATTATGATGCTGTGCGAGACAGAAGCACTTACTGGGCGGCAGCGGCTCATCAATGGTGGGATAGTGGTGTGGATCGGGCCGCAGGGCAGGCAGCTGACTCACTGCAGGGTGGTTACAAGGCAAAGGACATTCTCCTAAACACACCACAAACACAAGCCAGCACATTCTTCATAGATAAATTTCTATCACAGGTCAGTGTACCCCAAATTGATAATTTTCACCCCAAAATGAACATTTGCAGTTAATGTTCTACAGTCAAATGAAAAAATTAGGACCTTTTTTTCCATATCAGTACATAAAAAAGGTAATCTGATCTATGCAAGTCCAATATTATTTGGCAAATAGCATCTGTGCAGTCTGTGTTCATGCACAAAAGTGTTTTCTTTTCTTTGTACATATACGCACAAGTACTATTTTGATGAACTATTATCTGTGTGTCCCTGCTTTTTATTGTCAATAAAAAACGTCGGTTCATTTGAGAGTTTTTACACATATATACATAATTATGCGACAGGAAGCTTGTGATATGATTGCCATGAAGGGCTGCTTGATGAGATTGTAGATTAAAAATAATAATGTTTTAAGTAATGTTAACCTTTGTGTACTGTTCAAATTGACTACCCTTTCATTATGTTGGTGGCTCTTTTTGCCCCATTGACTTCCATTATAATGACTTTAGCATGAACTCTTTCGATAGGCCTGTGCAAAAACTTTCTGGCTTTCATATGAAGTTTTATAGAGTAAAACATCAGATTATAGTGTGTGTGCATAAATACATTTATTATGTTTTACTATGTTCTGAGAGCGACGATGCAGTGGCGCAGTAGGTAGTGCTGTCGCTTCATAGCAAGAAGGTCGCTGGTTCGAGCCTCGGCTCAGTTGGCGTTTCTGTGTGGAGTTTGCATGCTCTCCCTGCGTTCACGTGGGTTTCCTCCGGGTGCTCTGGTTTCACCCAGAGTCCAAAGATACGCGGTACAGGTGAATTGGGTAAGCTAAATTGGGTAAGCTAAATTGTCCGTAGTGTAAGAGTGTGTGTATGAATGAGTGTGTGTGGATGTTTCCCAGAGACGGGTTGCGGCTGGAAGGGCATCCGCTGCGTAAAAATGTGCTGGATAAGTTGGCGGTTCATTCCGCTGTGGCGACCCCGGATTAATAAAGGGACTAAGCTGACGAGAAAATGAATGAATGTTCTGAGAGCTGAGCTGCTTATTTTGATTTTCTCAGACATATCAAGATAAGTCTCTCACATGCACACACTCACACTATACTCCATATAGAAGAGAGAAACTAAGCTGTTTTTGCACTGCAACTTACGATCAACAGTAAAACCACCAACAATCAAGTATGTATGATTATATGCTGCCATGGCTTGGCAATCAAAATATGTCAATATAATGGAAGTCAATGGGGCAAAAACAGCCACCAACATAACGAAAGGGTAGTCAATTTGCCCACAGCGTATTGTTGAATTTTTGAAAACGTTCAAAGCATTTTACCAAAATATGTGTCAAAATAAGATTTGTCCCAAAAATCAGTCCATTTGCTGAAATACAGAGAAAGTTGTGGCCAAATTAAGAGTTAAATTCAATCCAGAGTGGATGGAAACTTCCCCAACAGCACACAGGGGTTAATTTGATCATTTGATTAGACAGACTTATTTCAGTTCATAAGACCTCTGGTATTAAGTTTGCTTTGTTTTTGTATTGTTGTTTTTTTGTATGTTTTTTACTCTGTTAATAGCCACTAACGTTTATTTAATAAATTATGAAGGACCATCTACAAAAGCTTCTTTAACCTTTAAAAGTAAACATCTTAGATGGGTGTAATGATTCGCCAAATTTGGAGTTCTGTTTGATACGATACAATATCCACAGCCATATCACCCTGCAGCCCAAGACTAGTTACTCACTGAAGCTAAGTAGGGCTAGCAAACTGTGGTCTGTGTGAGTCCTAATGCCCCAGTAAAAGTGAAGGCACTATACTGCTAGTGGGCGCTCTCTTTCGGATGAGACGTTAAACCGAAGTCCTGACTTTCTGTGGTCATTAAAAATCCCATGGCACTTCTCGTAAAGAGCAGAGGTGTACCCCGGTGCCCTGGCCAAAGTCCCTTAATCAGCCCTTACAATCATGGCCTCCCAATCATCCCAATATACCAAACTGGCTCTATAAGTGTCTCTTCACTTCACCAATAGCTGGTGTGTGGTGAGGACACTGGCGCCGTTGTCCTGTGGCAGCCGTCACATCATCCAAGTGGATGCTGCACACTGGTGGTGATGCGGAGAGACCCCCCACCCTCATGACTGAAGCGCTTTGTGTTTATGGCCATACATGATAAATCATTCATTCATTTTCTTGTCGGCTTAGTCCCTTTATTAATCCGGGGTCGCCACAGCGGAATGAACCGCCAACTTATCCAGCAAGTTTTTACTCAGCGGATGCCCTTTCATCAACAACCCATCTCTGGGAAATACATGATAAATGCACTATATAATTACACATTACATTACAATAGTGTCACAGTTTAGTAACTTTTCAAAACAATAAAAAAATCAATTCCTTAAGTTTTATTAATATTTATAGTTCTATAAACTTTTTATTTATTAAAATTACGATCAAACGCATTATCTTTTCTTTACTTTGAACAGTAATGGAGATATACTTAATCTCTCTTTTGGGGTTTCTTTTTTAGCAGCATATAAAATATAAACAGCAGATTATTAGGGAAAAAATTATATATACTTTTTGCACTATATAGCACTATCTTTTTTGTTATATGGAAATCGTTGTGCTTTTACTCTGTTTTCACATTTGTCAATGACATCTGGTCTCTCTTGTTGAGTGCAGTGCACATTACACAGTTATTTTATGAAGCTTTTTATTTTTACAAATTTAAATTTTCCAAAAGACTGCAGTAAATATGTACCGTTACACCCCTACCATTTAAATCAGGGGACGTCAAACTTGTTCCTGAAGGGCCGGTGTCCTGCAGATTTTAGTTCCAACCCTAATGAAACACACCTGAACTAGCTAATCAAGGTCTTACTTGGTATACTAGAAACATCCAGGCAGGTGTGTTGAGGCACGTTGGAGCTAAACCCTGCAGGGACACCGGCCCTCCAGGGAGGAGATTGGTGACCCCTGATTTAAATGGTGAATAAATTACCAGCAAGTGTTCATTTTGGGTGAACTACCGCTTTGAAAACAACTTCTCTACAAACCTGCAACACACATGGATCTACTAAGCCTGAAAACCCATGCTAGTCTACTCACGTCTGCCGCTCGGTCCGGCCACTTCTCCATTACCCACAATGCCATGAGGGCTCTGAACGTGACTGTCCGGTGCCTCCTCCCACTGACAGCTCCCGTCGCCTGGCTCCCGACATTGAGCGCCCTGCTCTGTTTCCGTCTCTGATCCCAGAATGCCATTTGGCTGCTCCATCTCGTCCTCGTCATCCTGCGAGGAGAACACCGTACTCTCTGACCTCCGCGCACTGTCTAGGGATTGTGCCCGAATGGGACCAGAAGCTCTCGGGGACATGTGACTGCAGCACGCCACTGGGCTCAAATCAGGTGACCTCTGATTTCCGGTTTGCCCCTCAGCCCCAAGCGGATGTCCATCTCCATCCAGCATCTGAATGAGGTCAGAGAGGCGTTCGTGAGAGCGGCTGCGAGGAAGAGTCCTGCGAGGGCCATTGGGTGTTAAAGCATGATCTTCAAGAGTTACACCTTCTTCTTCTTCCTCTTCATCTTCCTCCTCTACACCCATTGGTCGGTCTGGTTCAGGCCCGGCGGAGTCTCCTGTCTGCGGTTGAGTGGCCGGCAGGCTGTGGAGCAGGTGGTGTATTCGGATGTAATGAGAGCGTGGCGTTTCAGGTTCCCCACAGGCTGAAGCAATGACCGTCTCAAGCTCAGAGACAGGTAAAGAGCAGGGACGGGGTTTCCTTCTTGGAGTGGTTCGGATCCTCAGTGAACAGTCTTCCTCTAAATCCGCATCCGGCTCTTCTGAAGCTGGCTGCGGATCTGAAATCGCTTCATCTTCCTCTCCTGCGCGAGCATCTGAAGACTCTTCTGCAAAGGCGCAATTATTCTCTGCTTCTTCTTCTTCAGCGCCATTGATGGGATCCAAGACCTGGGAAGAGATGAAGCCAATCATCCAAGACTTTAAGGACAACACATACACTTAGGTCCAAATTCTTCCCCTTAGCCCTTACCCCTACTCCTAGTTTTGTGCATTCATCTAAAGGGTTAGGGGTGTCTCATTTCTTGTTAGCTTATAGGCATAGGGCTAAGGGAAAGGGATTTTCCAGGACCACACTCGAAACCAAGGAGTACGAAAATTTCCCAGAATACACCAGGTACAACGGCAACATGGCTAAACACAGGAGTCAGGAGATGCACAAATTTGAGTATGTTTTGGCATTATTAATTTGGCATCATTAGTATTATTGGCATGTTTTATGACATTCATAATGGCATTCATGTTTTACGCTCATGTTTAAAAAATAAAAAAAAGCTAAATTTGGCTATCTATAATCCATGATATTAACTCCTATATAGTAGTCCCACAACATACCTTTACATCTGTCACTCGATGACACTGGAATACCCAGTCAGAAAAGTCTGGTGACAAGGAATTAACATTTTGCCACATTATAACATTGCCACATTATATCATTATGATAACATGATATGTTTGCCTAAAGGGATTTCCTGAAGATTAATACCCAAAAATAATGCAACTGGAATAAGTACGGCAGTCGGGATCGTCAATGTCATATGAAGTAAGAGCTCGCAATGATATTTCATGATATTTGCTGGTGTTGTAGTGCTGTCCCATTTCTTAAGGGTAAATTTGAAGCCCTTCCTCCTCACACTCTGTTTGAAGGGCCATGGGGAAGGGGTAGGGGTAGAGGTGGAAAAATAGATTTGGGACTGGGCCTTTGTTTTCTCGAATCCGCCAGAGGCAACTGTGCACGCTTTTCGAGATATTAAATTTCTCTTGCAAGTGCCATTGGAGTCTGCGCTTCTCGTGTTAATCCACTAGAGGCCGCTGTCGACTGACTGACTGACCCACCCTCTTCCTTCCCCAAACCCAACCGATAGTGTTTTCAAAAGCACAGATTGACCAATAAAATTGGGATTGGGCCTTAATACACAAATACACTTCATTGAACATGTACACATTACCTACAGTTAAAGTCTGAATTATTAGTCCCCCTGAATTATTAGCCCCCTAATAATTTTTCCCCAATTTCTGTTTAACAAAGAGAAGATTTTCTCAACATATTTCTTAGCAAAATAGTTTAAATAACTAATTTTTAATAACTGATTTGTTTTATCTTTGCCAAGATGAAAGTAAATAATATTTGACTAGATATTTTTCAAGACACTTAACTAGGCAGGTTAGGGTAGTTAGGCAAGTTATTGTGTAACAATGGTTTGTTCTGTAGACTATCGAAAAAATATATAGCTTAAAGGGGCTAGTCATTTTTTTATCCTTAAAATGGCTTTTAAAAAAATTAATAACTGCTTTTATTCTAGCCAAAATAAAACAAATATATAAATAAATAAAACAAAGACTTTGTCCAGAAGAAAAAATATTATCAGACATACTGTGAAAATTTCTTTGTTCTGTTAAACATCATTAGGGAAATTAAAAAAAAAATTCAAAGGGGGGCTAATAATTCTGACTTCAACTGTATATATTATATAACTGCAGGTTCATTATGCTTATTTAGAACAACTGTTAAAGCTATTAGTTACTAGTTAACTAGTTCAAGTTATTACTGGTAACTGATAAAGTTATTGTAACTAATAACATTAACTTTTTAATTTAATGACCTTTTGTAAAGCTGCTTAGAAACAATAATTATTGTGAAAAGCGTTATACAAATAAACTTAAACTGAATTAAATTCTTTTACTTGTGTTGTTTCTTCTGCATTGGTTTCACTTTGCTCCATTGCTGCTGCTGCTGCTGCTGCTTCTCCTTCCTGCTGTTCTTCCTCTAAACACTCTTCCTCTATGACATCTGCTTCAGCTGCACAACTCTGACCAGATTCAACATCCATGGGCATCTCGACTGAAGCCGTATCTCCATCTAAGGGCAGCTCCGGGGCTCCGAGATCTAAACTCATGGTGTCTTCAGCTTGAGGCTGAGCTTGAGCTTCTGCTGCTGCCACCGGCTGCTCTGTGCTGAGAGACATGTCTTCATCATCTGTGGGGAGAAGAAATCTGTGACCTACACATATTTGGCACGATGCATACAAGAATTACAGTCTAGATCTGATGCATAATATATCAGAATCAAAATCAGAAAGAGCTTTATTCGCCAAGCATGGGGAAAAACACGTGAGCTCAGGTTTCATACAGTCTAAATGATTCTCCCTCCTGTGAATTTCCTTTTTTAAATATTTCCCAAATTATGTTTACCAGAGCAAGAAATATTTCACAGTATTTCCTATAATATTTTTTCTTTTGGAGAAAGTCTTATTTGTTTAGTTTTTTGCCTAGAATAATATCGGTTTACATTTATTTAAAAAACATTTTAAGGTCAATATTATTAGCCCTCTAATAAATAATTTAGCCCTCTGTTTTTGATTGTCTACAGAATAAACCACTGTTGTGCAATGACTTACCCAATTACACTAGCTTCAAGTTAAGCCTTTAGTCATCAAATTTGAAACATTGCTCAAATGTTTAGGGTCAACAAATTAACTTTTATTCAGCAAAGATGCATTAAATTGATCAAAAGTGACATTTAGGGTCTACCAAATACTTATTTGGATGCCCAATAAGTTCAACCCATGCCTTTATTCCTGGAACTCAAGACAAAACATCTTCACATTGGAAAAAAAAAGGATTAGTACATATAAGAGATGTATATGTTGATAATAAACTTGGCTCATTTAGTCAGTTAAAATCTAAATATGATCTTCAATCCTCTGAGTTTTTTAGATATTTACAAATAAGGGATTTTACTAGGAAAAATTTCCCTGGTTTTAAAAATATAACCAAACACCAGACACTTGAGAATATAACAAAACACAACCCTGTAGAAAAGGTCTCCTTTTTCTATAACTCATTATTAGATAAGGTTAATTCTAACACTGACAAAACTAGGAAAGAGTGGGAGAAGGAGCTAAATACAGAGATATCTGATGAGTCATGAGAAGATTATCTTTCCAAAATTCATGATTGTTTGATCAACGCGAGACACAAACTGATTCAATTTAAAGTTATCAACAGACTTCATTATTCAAAATTAAAATTACATAAGATTTTTCCAAATGTTTTCTTATTGTGCAACACATGTAAAAACTCTGAAGGTACACTGGCTCACTCATTCTATTTATGCCATAAAATTTGTTTATTTTGGCAGAGCATTTTTAATTTTATATCTATTTATATTTAGTATACAGGATTGATCGGTCACCAAAGCCAAAATTGGGCATTTTTGGAGACAGAAATAGGAGATAAATATACAATGAAAGTCAGAATTATTAGCCCCCCCTTTGAATTTCTTTTCTTTTTTTAAATATTTCACAAATGATGATTAAAAGAGCAAGGAAATTTTCAGAGTATGTCTGATAATATTTTTTCCTACTGGAAAAAAGTCTTTTTTGTTTTATATTGGCTAGAATAAAAGCAGTTTTACAGATATATTAAAAAAACATTAAAAAAACAGTCAAAATGATTAGCTCCTTTAAGCTTTATTTGTTTTCGCTAATCTACAGAACATACCAACATTATACAATAACTAGTCTAATTACTCATACCTGCCTAGTTAACCTAATTAACCTAGTTAAGCCTTTAAATGTCTCTTTAAGCCGTATAGAAGTGTCTTGAAAAATATCTAGTCAAATATTATTTACAGTCATCATGGCAAAGATAAAATAAATCAGTTATTATGATGAGATGATATTATTGAGATGAGTTATAAAAAGTATTATGTTTAGAAATGTGTTGAAAAATAAATCTTCTCTCTATTAAACAGAAATTGAAAAAAAATGAACAAATTAATAATCTAGGGGGGCTAATAATTCTGACTTTAACGGTATATCACAGGCAGTATCTTTGTGTATGATATTAGGAAAGAAATTAATTTTACAAAATTGAAAGTCAGATTATGTGGCTGTGTTTGAAACTTGAATTAGGAGCTTAAGTTATGTGTTGCCCATGGAAGAAATGCGGATGACAAACAAACTAAACACATTTTTTTAAATCTGCAAACCAATTATGTTTTATATCAGTAATGCTGACTTGTAACTCTTTATAGTTGGGATTGGTTTGAGATAAGTAGAGTTGTGATGTTAATTTTCTGTCTCTTTTTTTCTGTTTTGTTACTGTTTATTTTCTTATGCTAAAAACAATAAAAAGATCATTTAAAAAAGTGACATTTAGAATAATAAATCTATTTCTAATAAATGTGTTTGAGCGTTTTATTTTATTCTTCTGTTCACACTGAAATATTAAGCAGCATACATGTTTTCAATAATAAGAAGAAATGTTTCTTGCAGTAAAGCACCGTATTAAAATGATTTATAAAAGATCATGTGACACTAAAACTAAGGTTCCGCTTTGCAATCACAGAAATAGATTACATTATAAAATGTGTTTAAATATAAAGAAATATGTTAATAATATTAAATTATGCAAATAATAACATTTAAATAATGATAACAACATCAAAATGTTCTGTCTCCAAACTTTTGAACAGAAGTGTATTTTTAAAAAGGGCATTGAGAAATAGGACAGGATTCAACTGGGCGAAGAATAAGGGTAGATTTGGGAAAGGACTCAAGACAGATTTGGCTGACCAATCCATTAATCTGACAATTTTGCTAGTCTTTATTCCTAAATGAGGTGAATCTAATATGCAAAAATAATTTGACAAATTTATATCAATTATTGTATCAATTATCATAAATATTAAGATAGTCGACATGGTGAAAACTGTAACACAAATCTACAAACTATTAACAGCCAGGTTCCACACCAGGTCATCACTATGTACAGATCTTTGTGTAAAGGTCTCGTAAAGTGCTTTGAAATGTGCATTTTTTCGGTCAACGCTGACGCAATCTCAACTGAAACATGAAGAGAGAGCGGGACATCAAGTAGCTTCTCCCCTTTTTTTAAAAACAGCCAATAGCGTTTTGTTTAATCACAGCTCTGCCAGTAAGATCAAGTGCATCAAATGAAAAGAAAATGAGAAGCATCTTGTTGGGGGCGGGGCATGTCAGATGCTAGAGACCAAGCGGCAACCTCCCGCTCTCCCTCAGGAAGCCAATACGGAAGTAACTGAAACTGCAATTCATCGAAATACAGCTAGTCCTGGCTCCATATGGAGCAAATTTCAATTGAGCCCACTGTTAGAATGGCCAACTTTACAACAGAAAAAAGGGTGTTTACATCCTGGTACAAAGAACGATTTTGGTGTATATAGCTAATATTACCCTTCATGACAACTGTGAGCGGGGTGAATTTATTTATAACTCATCAGTTTCCTTTATATAAGGCTATATTAAGTTTGCATAATTAAGGGCATGGCCATTTGAGTGACAGCTAGGTCTTGCTGGTTGCCGTCACGTCACCTCAGCTGACTCCGGCAGATTAGCCACTGATTTCGGCATATTTATCATATTTCTGTTGTTTTATGTGGCTTTACACAGTCAGTTGCCTTTTGGACTTATTTCCTACAATTGTCAGATGATATGGGATGCTGTGTGCACGTAATCGTGCTCACAAACCATTTACTTGGTCTCCATTTCCCATGTGAGTAAAGTTTTATACTTACATACCATGTTTACCCATGTATTTGTTTTATTTAAGATCCTTTATCAATTAAATTTATAGCTGTAATGCATTCCAGAATCTGACAGATTGATTTGCTGTAGGCTCTAGAGCAGTCATCTGAAGCATTGTCATCAATAGCCTTGCATTTACTAACACAGACTATATCTGAAGTGTTTGGAAGTAATTTGCGTTTTCCTCCTGTAGGAAAATGATATAAGAACAATGTTTAGTGGCTTAATGTATTACAGCAGTGTTTTTAAAAGTCTAAACACTTTAATGATATAGTATACAACCAAGCGCATGTGGTCAGAACACAAACGAGTTACAGGTAATAAAGTATTAAGCATTCTTCCTAAGTAAAGTCTGTATAAACCGGGTCCAAGCAAAATGTCTGAAGCTCCGCTCACTCTCCGCCTCTTTGCCCTTGTTTGGTATCCCACCGTGGTTGCGATGACGCGCGAACATAATGGCGACGGTTGGCCACGCCTACTTGTGGCTTCTTTTGCGCTTATCAGAAACCTATGGGTGAAGTCACAGATACTACGTCCATATATTTTACAGTCTATGCTAGAGAGACCAGTAGATTTGATGAGAAACTGAAGTATGAGGTGATGTAAAAAAAAATTGTTAGATGTCAGATTTATATTTTCTAATCATTAATTTTGTCACTGTTTTGGAGCACACTAGCTTAAAGATCACCTTAAAACCTAACATACCGATACTAACATCTAAAAAATACATATTTTACTTTCATGGGACCTTTAGAGCAGCCAAATGCATATCAGAATATGTTAAGGCTATATTATATTTAGAAACATAATGAAAACTGTATTCACCTGGATGAATGGAGGAGGTGATCTCGAACCTGAACTGCAGCTGCCCGCTGACATGCTCTGTTGGAAGTCTTCGACCCAGAGTATAGCTGACCACTCGATCACTGTGACAAGAATTAGGACATTATTCTCCTCATTAGCATGAAAAGCAAAGTCACGTTTAAAAAAATACTGCTTAAATTACAAAAAAGAGGCTAGATTTAGTTTGATTATCTTTTCATTGCATTTACATTGCATTTAGTCATTTAGCAGATGCTTTTGTCCCAAAGTGGCGTACAACTAGGGCGGCAACAAAGCGACTTACAAAGGGAAATAGTGCTCAGAGAATTAAGTGCTAGAGTTTGGAGGGCAGAGTGCTTCTTTAAAAGAGAGAAAGGTGTTTCTATAGGTGGTTTGTCATGCCCACTCACCTGTGTGAGGCACACTCAGAATGAATAAAGTTTTGAGGTTGTTGTCATGTGGTGTGGTGGTAATGCGTACCCGATAGCATGCTTCTCCAGTAGTCTTTGCACTGGCATGGACAGCTTGCCCAAGAAACGCTTTATGATGGGACGGCTTTTGGCGAACTTGTCCTTCACCTCAATCTCCAACACATCCGTAGGCAGAGACACAAAATTAAAGCGCTACAGGCAGGAAACATAAAAACACAGAGGAAGAAACAGCAATCATTTCAAGCTGAATTTCATAACCTAAAATGAAAAAGGAAACATGTTGGTATCTTGCAATAAAGGATTTTATAAAGTTATATGAATGCAATGTGAGAAGTTGTTCTTCATTACTATAAAAAAATACTGTTATTAATTAATGCAAGACCAACAAAACAAAAAAATACCCAGATATTTCACTCAGAGCTTGTCTGTTTCTTACACAATGGCAACATCAATTATTATTATTACCATAATTCCTTTATTTATAACTTAAACTGAACTTCAACGCTGAAAACTGAACTGAAGTGGTTTCAATTTACTAGAACTTCTATGTTGAGCTGTTTTGGACCAATCTACATTGTTAAAACGCTATAGAAATAAAGATGAATTTAATTGAAATTTGGCAAGAAAGTCACTAGAGATATTGCTACTGTAGTTCTTCTTCCAGTGAGACCTGGACAAGACGGCAGCACATAAATATTGCACAGAAGACTCACAAAGAAAACCTTGCAATTCACACATCCACAAATCATAATCATATGGTGAAATGCAATTCCAACTGCCCTTTAAAACAGTATACAAATGATGTTTAAAAGTATTCATAGTTTGTAATGTGCAGTGTAAAAAAATAAGTCAGTACAACAACAAAAAAACAGAATCTTTATTTTCTTTCGCTTTTTCTTGTTCACTCAACTTTTGAAAGCATCAGCTGCACTGACCTAAAATTATTTGTTAGTAATACAAAAAACATTTAGTTGGGTTAACATAAGATTATCCGTTTTCTAGAGAGGTGAACTACTCTGTACCAAAACTTTTTAGGTTGTGCTAACTGAACATTTTTTGTCTGCAGAACTGGAATTACTCAAGTACTCAACTTTTTTTTATTCACCTTTAATTGATAGGACAGTAAAGACTTTAGACAGGAAAGCGTGGAAAGAGGAGAGAGGGGAAGGATTGGCTTAAAAAACTCTGTGGAAATTGGTACTAAGAAATGATAATAATAATAATAACAATAATTCCTTACATTTATATAGCGCTTTTCTGGGCACTCAAAGCGCTTTACACACAATAGGTGGGAATCCTCATCCACCACCAGTGTGCAGCATCCACTTGGATGACACGACTGCAGCCATTTTGCGCCAGACCGCACACCACACACCAGCTGATTGGTGGAGAGGAGACAGCGATGAAGCCAATTGGAATATGGGGATGGTTAGGAGACCATGATGGACAAAGCCCAGTGGGCAGATTTGGCCAGGATGCCGGGGTTAAACCCCTACTCTTTTCGAAGGACATCCTGGGATTTTTAACGACCACAGAGAGTCGGGACCTCGGTTTAACGTCTCATCCGAAAGACGGCACTCACTGAGCAGTATAGCGTCCCCGTCACTATACTGGGGCATTAGGACCCACAGAGACCGCAGGTTGGGCGCCCTCTGCTGGCCTCACTAACACCACTTCCAGCAGCAACCCAGCTTTCCCATGTGGTCTCCCATCCAGGTACTGACCGGGCGCAGCCCTGCTTAGCTTCAGTGGGCGACCATGTGAGAGTTGCAGAGAGCTAGCTGCCAGCGATGCAGCTGATACATTATCAGAACAAACAAACATAGTTCAATTGAAAAAACAGGAAGGCATGCTTCACATGTGAAGCATTACAAAGCATTTTCCCTGTTTGTCCTGCCATGTTTTGATTCTTGTCTTGTTTACCGTTATTGTTGTTTTACCCCCTGTCTTGTTTCTAATTCTGTTTCTAATAAATGTTTTGTTAACAGTTGTCTCTGTTTTAGTTTTTTATTTTCAGTTGAACTCTGTTTGTTTGTTCAGATAATGTATTATTTCTTAGTAACAATTTCCGCAGTTTTTTTGTTCACTCAACTTCGGACATTTTAGGTCAGTACAACTGATGTGTTCAAAAGTAGAGTACACGTCGGGACCAATGTTGTAGTGGTTGGTGTGTCGACACATGGCACTTAGGTGTTCACAGGGACCTGAATTCGATTCCCGCCTCGAGGTCCTATGCCAATCCTTCCTCTCTCTTCTCTCCCCAAGCTTTACTGTCTATACTGTCCTATCAGTGAATTTAAAAAAAAGTTGAGTACTCGAGACAAAACTAAAGAAAATAAGGATTATGTTTTTGTTTTGTTCACTAAACTTTAGGCATTCCAGTTCTGCAGACATAAAAATGTTCAGTTGGCACAACTTCCCCTTGCTGGAGCTCAGCTCTGCCCAAGTGGCTCTGCAGTGAGTACCACTTGCATTTTTTTAGCAACTAAAGCAAAACAGCATCACTTCAATACCGAAGTTAAACTCTCTGTCATTTATTCTCTAGATCTATTTTAATCCTCTACTGTAAGGTGATCTCTGCTACTCTTTGCTAATCTAATAAAAACACTTAACAGAAGACGATCATCTACAACATGAAGACAATGCCATTAAATTCAGACGATGTCACCAGCTCCAAAAAGATGAAATATTATTCTGTTAAATCCAACTGTTTACATGAATTCAATATAATTTTCATATTTAATAGTGGAATTTGCACCTGAATAATCTTTTTAGACTGTTATCATAGTTAAGTTATTTTGCTAGATTAGCTCCAGATTTGGCTTAGGTACTGAATCAGGGCCGGAGTGGGACTGCTTTTCAGCCCTGGAGTTTAACGCCTTAGACCAAACCACTTTAGTTCATGACTGACTATATTATCAGTACATCACAGTGAAGATTTATTTGAACAGTCAACACAGTGTAATGTTTAACAGTATCAGAATCTATTTTCTGTAAGAGTTAGTGCTCATAAATACCCTAACCTTGAATTAAAAAAAAATCAAATAAATACAAATATGATTTAAGCTATATGTATAAAATAAAGATTCAAATCAAATGTATTTAATTTTCTATTGACACTATCAAGTCTTTTTCGAGGAAACAGCTGCTTTATAACTTCAAAAGTTAGTCATAAATATGAGAACATTAAAGGGTAGCTAAATCTCCCCTTTAAAGGAGGATTTGATTGGATTTAATAATGTTAAATGATGCATTTCAGTTTTGAATGTTTTTGTTTTTAATTGTTTGCATTTGTAAACTTAGAATATTCATATGTGTTGTTCAGATGGATATTTTGTGCATTTTGCATTGAGGATATGTAGCATGTTAAAAATTGTGTGCAGGCTCTTTAAGAACTGCGTCTGTCAAATCTGACGGCAGCGTGTTCTTTAGAAGACAGCGGAGTCACACAGTTTTCATTCCCGCATCCGTGATAATTGAAATATGAGGTTATATTTTGTTTACTTTAATTTGTTTATGTATCTGTGAGTGAAGATTAAGGGCTTTATCATACACCCGGCGCAATGTGGTGCAAGGCGCGCTTGTTTAAATAGCAAATGCATTTGCGCTCATATGTGCGCCCATAGGCGTTCTAGTCTAAAAAGGGAGGTTTGTCGAGGTGCATTGCCGGCGCATTGCAATTTTGGGAAACTATAATAGATTTTTTAACAGAACAAAGCCGGTCTATTGTCCAAAGCAGAGCTCGTTAGCTGTGCGCCTCGCTTACACACTGCTTAATACACACAAGATGTAGAGCAATACGCAAATATCTTTACATATGAAAAAGAATTAAAATATTAAGGATATATATAGGATATAATAAGGATATACATTGGAAATAAATATAAACGATTAAAATATTACAAAACATTATTTTCTAGCCTACATAAATGTAAAAACTACTGCTTTCATGCCTTCTTCATCTCAAGGTTTGTTTTCAGTTTATTTGTGACAATTTGCTTTTGTTAATGTTATTATTGTTAGCAGTATTATTTATTATATGCATATTTATATTTGTTTTATTAAAAACAAGCTTAGATTTGCCCACCTGTCGGGTTTTAGACCATATGGGGCACAGCATGTGTGTTTGGATATACTCAGTTTTTTGACCACACTTTGTTATTATTGTTCATTGATTTGTTTGCTGGAAATTAACACTGAATTTAGAAATAGTGTTAAAACAAATCTTTGTGCTTAACAAACAAAATTAATTATTTATAGGTTAATGGATGTCTGTGCGTACAAGGTTTCCCTATCCATGAGAGTGAAAGTATATTATGAGGAAGGTTATCTCTCATTCTCGTGCTGTAGATGAACTGCTTAACTGTTTTCTTGCAAGTGAAATGCTCAGTTTTTACAAAGCCTTCATGTAAATAGCAAATGTGCCATGGCGCGATGCAACTGACTTTTAAAGAGAATGGGAGATGAGACTCTGATTGGTTTAATCTCAAAACACACCCATCACTCATTAAGAAAATAAGCTCAACCCTTTTAGACCATGCGCCACTGCGCAAAGTGGATTTTTCAGTCCTTACATTAGCAAAAGTGGATTCTGACATGGCCCTAATGCGTTTGCGCCCTGCGCTTTGCACTTTGTGCATGGATCGTCAAAATACAGCCCTAAAAGTCAACATCTGACAAGAAACAAACTATACTAAACTATAGATTTCTTTATTGGGCATCATTAACCTGCAGGCTACAGGCTGCATTCTGCTCATGAGGCTGCAAGAAAACAAATAAAAAGAGCAGAGCTGCGGAAAAATAATGAATAAAAAGAATGAGTCTATGGTCAAATAAATAAAGTAATTAAAATAGTGCGACTGCTGAGAGTGCAGGCAGCTAGGGACACCGGCCCTCATGGCCAAAAAAATGGACCAGCCCACCGGGAATACTCCCGGTCCTCCCGATTAGCCAATCCGGGCCAGTACTGACTAATGTACACTACCTGACAAAAATCTTGTCGTCAATCTCAGTTGTAAGAGCAACAAACAATAACTTGACTTCTAGTTGATCATTTGAAAAAGTGGCAATAGGTATATTTTTCCTATGAATCATCTGTTGAACTGCATCCCAATCAACCCAAATACTGCAGAAGACCTACTGGAACTAGGGTTGTAACGGTATGAATTTTTTACGGTATGATAATCGTCTAAAACAATACCACGGTTTGACGGTTTCGCGGTATACGGTACTGTATGTTACAAATGTTACAAAATAATAGAACAGTGAAGCAAATTTGACTTTTTCCAAATAATATATTTTCAGTTACTATAAACAACACCACTTACAATGAACAAATAAAAAAATAAGAAAATAATAAATAATGTGTCAAAGTCCAAATAAAGTCCAAATAAACATGGTGCAAATCCTCAGTAAAAAAATAGATATAAATATTTACTATACTATAAATAGTTACATAACTAAACTAGATTCAATATGGACCATCCTTAGGTTTTATGTGCCAGCATGGATATGGTTGTCTGTGGATATGGATTTGGATATGGTTGTCTGCAATGCAGACAAACAGCTGCATCTTCATTTGCGTCTTTTGAAAACAGCAAGAGCAGCAGTTCGTCTTGCTGTGTCACTGTTTTGTCATGTTTCTGTGCTGTTGTGCATGCAAAAGTACTTAGTATGAGAATTATTTCATGCAAAACTTTTTTTTTTTTGCGTTTTATTTAGCCGCGCATAAATGTATGCCTATCTCTCATTCCGTGTTGTTCAAAAAGCTCATTGTTGGTCCACAAACAAAAGCGAAACCTATGCTTATTGGTTGTGATATAGCGAGTTTGAACCAATCTGGGCATGGAGGAGGGACAATGCATCAATGTATCATGTCTGGTTTGTCTGGAGACACAGTGACGAGCGTTTCTTTGTCAAATCAGCGTTGTCAAAAAGCCTCTGAAAGTCCGCACTGGAAAGCTGAGATTCTCTTCTTTATGCCAATCTTTGAATTGTATGAATCGGATCAGCGGATCAAAAGTTATTAAACATTTAAGAGCAATACTTATTTTAGCCGCGGGCGGCTGTCTCGGTCTTTAAGGGTTAAAACCGTTGATATGCAATTGTTCATGGTATGATAATCGTGCACGTTCAAATCGTGGTAGACCGTCATACCGGTATATTGTTACAACCCTAACTGGAACCCTCATGGACCCAAGATTCTCACAGAAATCAGTCAAGTTTGGTGAAGGAAAAATCTAATATTGTAAAGCTTCCTATAGAACAGGGGTTCCCAAACTTTTCAGCCCTCAATCCCCAAAATAACAATGCCAGTGACTCGCGACCTCCAATATCCTCTGAGGTGGTTATAAATACAGAAACCTTGCATGCAATGGTGCACACACACCAATAGACCCAAGTTCAAAAGTCTTTGTTCACATTTTTTTTTATGTATGTCAGTGCTGTAAATGTGCCAGAAAGTTTAACCTGGTATTACAAAATCAATCTGCTGCATCAGATGCTATTGTCTTTAATATAATGTAATTACCTTAGGGGTCACAGTCCAATAGAACTAGTAACTATAAGCTACTATAGTAATTATATAGTACATAGTAACTATAAATGACTATTTTGTCTTTTCAGTAGGTTATGGATAAATTATGGTAATTCTTAAGGTTTAATAAAAGTTAATAGATTTTTGAAAATCACCAGGCGATCCCCCCTTTATTGTCCCGCGACTCCTCATGGGTCCCGACCCCCACTTTGAGAACCACTAATATAGAAAACATTCATTTGAGTGAGAGATTTGTGAGGGGTGTATTCATATACGCTGAGCACTGTATAAATTAAATATCCAAATTTCCAGCTCTACAAAGATGACATGCAGTTAAATCCCGTCAGTCAAACAGCGTCAGTGTTTGTGAGTCTGCAGTGACGCATCCAGTCTATTTGCAGAATGAAGGATTTACAGGACCAACTCTGTGTGGACTCTACAAAAGCACAGAAGGCCAGCGTTGGGTTAAACGACTATGAATAAATAAGACGGCGAGCGGATAGTGTTTAATGTGGATTTGTATATAAGCATGTTTAATCTGGTGCGTTTGCTCTTGTTTGTTTGCCATACCTCCCTCTGCCAAACAGGATTAATGGTATTGCAGACGATGCCGGATCTCTTCTCCTGGCCATGGTGAGGCAGCGCTGGGAAGATGCTGTGTTTGCCAGGGTGGATAGCGATCTTTAGGTAGGGGTCGGGGTTAAAAAACATGCCTTTTTTCAGTCCGGTGGCCTGGAAATCTGATCATAATGAAAAAGAATGGCAGGTGAAGTAGACAATGAAGAGAGCAAAATGAAAATAACATCAAAGAAACAGAAGAACCAGCACAGAAATGAACAATAGAAGAAAATATAAGCAGAACAAAAAAGCATATAAGAGAACAAAATAGATGTACAGAAATTTCAGACTAAAACAAAACTGCATAGAAATATTAAAATATAATGACAAAATATATCTTGACAAAACAGAAACTGCAAAAATTTGTGACGATCCAAAATAATAGTTGTTTTACATATATATATATATATATATATTTTTTTTTTTTTTTTTCTAAATGCACAGTATTATCATGAGGAATCATGTAATTGTTTTTAGGTTTTGTTTGATTAGGAAATTTAATTTGGGGAATTTGCTGTAAAAAATATCTAACAATAAAAAATAAACGCAATAAAAAAAGTTTAAATATAAAAAAATATATTTTGAGATGTATTTTTGGTCATTGAATAGATGTCAAAGCAAAACTAAGACCTGTGTAAAATGATACATAATATTTGAGTAAATTTAAGGCCTAAAGTTTAGTTTTTGAAATTTGAGACATTTTAAAACTTTTTAAGACCCAGCGGACAGCCTGAAATATAAATAAACCTTTTCTTAAATGTATGAATGCATTTGTTTATTTATATATACTTAATAAATATACATATATCTGTATATTTATTTATATATAAATGCACAAAAAACGTATATAAATATTTTAGTTTTAGATAGTTTTGTTTTTATATTACATATGATTTGTATCATATACTGTACATATAGATCTTATGTCTAAATATAAATAAACATTTTCTCACTTGTATGCTTGCATGTGTATAATTATACAGTATATATAAAGTTGAAGTCAGAACGATTAGTCCCCTGAATTATTAGCCCCCTAAAGTTATTGTATAATGATGGTTTGCTCTGTAGACTATCGAAAAAATATAGCTTAAGGGGGCTAATAATTTAGACCTTAAAATTTACAAAAAAATTTAAAACAGATTTCATTCAAGCCTAAATAAAACAAATAAGACTTTCTCTAGAAGAAAACATATCAGATATACTGTGAACATTTCCTTGCTCTGTTAAACATAATTTAAACATTAAATATTAAAAAAAGAAAAAAAAATCAAAGGGAGCTAATAATTCTGACTTCAACAATGCATAATATATATACACAGTACACACATAAAGTATGTAATGATTAAACTTTACAGAGCACTAAACAGAACAAAAAGAAAATAGAATCAAACAAAAACATTCAATTAAAACAGAAACAAATCTGGAATAAAAAAACAATAGAAAAGAACAAAAACAAATCAAAGTAAAATCTTGAAAAGCAAACAGAAAGAGCAAAATAAAAAGAAAACAGAACAGAACTAAAATATAAAAAAGAACAAAACAGTAAAGATAACAAACAAAATAGAACAAAACTGAACAGAAAAAACTAAATAATAAAACAAAAGACTAAAACAAAACAGAAAATAACAAAATTGACACACAACAATAATAAACTAAACAAACAACACAAAAGTTAAATATACAAAGTAAAATTAACAAGTTGGCAAATCTCATCAAATTAAAAAAAACAATAAAAAAGAAAAGAACAAAAACTAATTTAAATAAAAATAAAAAAAACAAGAAAACAAAGCAGAAAGAGCAAAATGAAAAGAAAACACAATAAAACTAAAATATCGAAACAAACGAACAAAAACTGTTAAGATAACAAGCAAAATTGAACAAACAAAATAATGAAACAAAAGACTAAAACAAAACAGAAAAGAGCTAATTTAACACTACAAAACAATAAACAAAACACAGATAGATAACAAAGTAAAAAAACAACAAAGAAGCAAAGTAAAATAAACAAAACGCTGCAGATCAACATAAACAACAACATAACAAAAACAGAAGAGAACTCAATTATAAAAAAATATCAAAATGGAATATCAAAATATACTGTATCACTTTATTTTGCTGGACACTTTAACGCATTTTATTGAATTTAAGTTACACTGCATCTACATGCCAACTAATTCTAATTCTCATAAGCAGACTGTTAGGTTAGGTTAAGGATTAGTGTAAGTTGACATGTACTTGCTAAGTTTCTTATAGTGAGTTAAATGTGCTGAAGGAGCAGTATAAACAGATATTAAGCAGACAGTCAACTAATACTCAAATGAGAATTAATTGCCATGTAGTTACAATGCAACTTTTAGTCAACGAAAAGTGCAATAAGGACCATTAAAATAAGGTCTTACCAAAAAATCTAAACAGAAAAGAACAGAAAAAAAATCATTATTTACTGTATTTACTGTATAAGAACAAAACAGAAAACAATACACTGAAATAGAACAGAAATTAACATTTATTAATCCTTAAATAATAAGTTTCTTGAGGAAGTGTTCTGTTGGGCAAAAAGCAGGTAATCATGCTTTTCTGATTGTTTACAGGAGCCTGTAAGCACTGGATCAATAACTAATCCCCATGGAGACACTAAATATAGAAGCCTCATAAATATTTATAAAGCTTAATGATCTGTTGTCTGGTCAGGCCAGTTTTTTTGAAACACACACCTGACAGAGAGAAGCTGATGAGTCTCCTTCTTCCCTGACTCTGAGGAACATCGTCTGTGGCCACCGGCTTAAACACCTGATGATGGAAAATTCAGTGTGAAGCGTGTTAGACTTTATTAGAAACCTTTTGCAGAACAGATTCATTATCATGAATAATTTTTTTTTCTCAGCAAAGATTCACTGTTTTATTCAAATCATATATATATAGAGCTCTAATTATAATTTGGCTCCTAAATGCAACTCTTTAGTATTTCTATAAGTTCGTTTGTAAAAGGTCTGACTCTTTGACTCATTCAGGTCAGACGTTGTTGCCTCATAAAGGTTTGCGTCACGCTGTGAATACTAATAATGCAACATGCTAGTAATTCTAATGTCAAAGGAGTTTTTTTGGCATGGTGACTTTGGATTGTGTTGAAATGCCTTTCTCACACATTCACTTCCCACATTCAAGGAGGAACAACAGAAGAAATCAAAGCAACAAAAGAACAAAAACATCGAAGTAATACAACTTGTTAGTCGTAAACGGATGGATGGATAGATAGATAGATAGATAGATAGATAGATAGATAGATAGATAGATAGATAGATAGATAGATAGATAGATAGATAGATAGATAGATAGATAGATAGATAGATAGATAGATAGATAGATAGATAGATAGATAGATAGATAGATAGATAGATAGATAGATAGATAGATAGATAGATAGATAGATAGAACAATTAATAGAAAAAAGACAGAACAAAACTAGGATTTCTTGATTTTAAATTACAATGATGCCTAAACTCTCTCTCTCTCTCTCTCTCTCTCTCTCTCTCTCTATGGCAAACAGCAGCACACTTTATGTGAGCGAGAGAGTGTATGTGTGGTTTGCGGTGTTGCTATGGAGGTGCTGTATTAAGCCATGAAATGATAACCTGAGATTATCTGCGGCGTTAATCCTCTGAGAAACAGATGGCACAGACTACTCTGCTCTTCAAAAACTCTTCGTCAAATGTAAGGAAGATAAAAACTGCTGCATTTGCCTTTACATCAGCAACATCATGCTATACAATTCATCATGACAGTGAATATTTTATAACACAGGTCACATGACGGTCACAGTTTTTACTCCCACTAATCTAAAGGCAAAATGACAAGACATTTAAATCATGAAACACAATAAAAGACAGATTTGTTTTATTGTCTTTGGCTCACCGGTGCAGAGGGGTTCTTCACAGTCACGCATGGTGTTGTGGCCCGAAGCGCTCCACTAACTCCATGATAATATTTAAAACAGATCTTAGTCTCCGCTGAAACACAGAAAAACACACAAGATGTCAAATATCATTTCAGATTTGCAGAGGTTTTTATTTTGTTGGTTAATAAACTATAAATGCAGTTACTGGACTGTAAAAATGCAGGAATTAAGTTCACTTCTTAGTAGTACAAATTGAAATGGATTGAACATAAAACAATGAAGTTTTCCCCCAAAAATCTTAAGAAACAAACAGCAAACATCCTTTTTTGAGTGTGAAAAGAAACAGCAAGTAGCTGGTATAGTGTCTGTTTATGTATGATGTTCTTATACTTTATTTCAGGAAGTGTCTGGTTGTTGCTGGTTTCAGTTATGGAGCAAAAATAGAAATATGAAGTTATAGTCTATTAGTTGTATGCCTTCGACAATGGCTGACCTCAACTTCCTATTTAAACATGAAATGCATCAGAACAGGAGAGAAAACACTGTGATAGAAAGAAAATAAAAAGATGATCATTTTAATTTATTAATGAAATACATTTAGTTTAATAATTATAATTTCAATTAATGGTGTAGTTATTTGGTTGTGTTTTGATCAATTGCATTAATTCTACAGTATTTTATTCTGAATTCATGTTTTTTCAATAAAAATAAGACCTGTTTCCTTAGCACCTAAAATAATAATAATAATAATAATAATAATAATAATAATAATAACAATAATAATAACAATAATAATAATAATAATAATGATAATAATAATAATAATAATAATAATAAATGTAGAAACACACACACATGTATATAGTTTCCTTCGGCTTAGTCCCTTTATTCATCAGGGGTCGGCTCAGCGGAACGAACCGCCAACTTACACAGCTGCAACCCAGCTGCATATGTTTTACACAGTAGATACCCTTCCAGCTGCAACCCAGTACTGGGAAACACCCATATACACTCATTCACACACTACGGCCAATTTAGTTTATTTAATTCACTTATATCGCATGTCTTTGGACTGTAGGGGGAAACTGGAGCACCCAGAGGAAACCCAAACAAACACAAGGAGAACATGCAAACTCTACACAGAAATGCCAACTGACCCAGCCAGCTATATATATATATATATAGGCATTGTTGACTTGACTTTTCACCAGATGTTAGTAACAATCATATAAATCCATATATGCAAAGAAAACAAAACTAATTAATCTACAGATAAAGTGCAATGTGTAATAAAATAAAATGACGCAGCGAATGAGTATTGAACACATGAAGAAAGGGAGGTGTAGAAAGACAGTGAAAGCTCAGACAGCAGCTGAAATCTCTCAGTTGTTCTTCAGGAACCCTCTGCCCTTGTTCATTGTAAATTAATATCAGCTGCTTCAGTCCAACATCTAGATTAGCAGGATGAAGATAAAACCAGGGTGGACATTTCAGCAAGACAATTACTAAAATAGCAGATAAGAAGACTCTCAAATACTTTCAGAGAGAGAAACAAGCTGTAGAATGGCCCAACCAATCACCTGACTTGAATCCAATAGAAAATACAAATTAAATATCTGGTGAAAATTTTAAGTCAACATCAACAAATATTTTTTCTGAGAAAAATAGTGACGTGGTCAATGCATATTTCCCCTGCTGTATATATATTTCATGATTTCATGTTTAAATGGGAAGTTGAGGTCAGCCATATTTAAAGGTCAGTTTAAAAATGTAAACTATAACTTCATTTTTCCATTTCCATTATTAGATCTAATTTTTAGCAGCAGGGCATTATTAAATGTCCGGATTTAATAATAATCCGGAGTCACCACAGCGGAATGAACCGCCAACTTATCCAGCACAGTTTTACGCAGCGTATGGCCTTCCAGCCAAACCCATCTCTGGTAAACATCCACACACACTCATTCACACTCATACAATTAGGACAATTTAGCCTACCCAATTCACCTGTATGTCTTTGGACTGTGGGGGAAACCGGAGCATCCGGAGGAAACCCACGCGAATGCAGGGAGAACATGCAAACTCCACACAGAAACGCCAACTGACCCAGCCGAGGTGAGGTGACAGCACTACCTGTGCCACTGCATTTCCCTTCAGCACAAACTATAATATTTCATGTGCAAGGCTTGTGTCAATCATTTATGCCATGGTTGAAATCTTAAATAGCCCTGGAAACAACCCAATCTCTCCTCCGCCACTCCCTGTACCTTAAACATCAAGACATATATACCCACAGCATATAGACAAAAATTGACTTATCACCAAAAAAACTCACTAAATTACATAAATTGGGAAAAATATATATACACTACCTGACAAAAGTCTTGTCACTTCTCCAAGTTTTAGAAACAACAAATAATAACTTGACTTCTAGTTGATCATTTGGTATCAGAAGTGGCTTATATGAAAGGCAAAAGCCTCTAGATTATACTTATTTTAGCTAAATAAAATATGATCATGCCTTGATTTTGAATTATTTAAATAGGACAGTAAGGTCTGACTGTGCTTAGACAAAAGTCTTGTCACTTAACAGAAATAATGTCCAGTATAGAAAATAGTCATGCTGCAGTGGAAAAAGAATGAATATTGTGTATGACTCCCATGAGCTTGGAGGACTGCATCCAGACATCTCTGCAGACTCAAATCACTTAATAAAGTCATCTGGAATGGCAAAAAGAGCGTACTTCCAGGACTCTCAGAGTTCACCAAGATTCTTTGGATTCATCTTCAATGCCTCCTCCTTCATCTTACCCCAGACCTGCTCAATAATGTTCATGTCTGTGGTGACTGGGCTGGCCAATCCTGGAGCCCCTTAACCTTCTTTGCATTCAGGAACTTTGATGTGGAGGCTGAAGTATGAGAAGCGCTATCCTGCTGAAGAATTTTGCCCTCTCTTGTGATTTGTAAATATAATGGGCAGCACAAATGTCTTGATAGCTCAGGCTGTTGATGTTGCCATCCACTCTGCAGATCTCTTGCACGCCCCCATACTGAATGTAACCCCAAACCATAATTTTTCCTTCACTAAACTTGACTGATTTCTATGAGAATCTTGGGTCCATGCAGGTTACAATAGGTCTTCAGCAGTATTTGTGATGATTGGGATGCAGTTCAACAGATTGGCACAAAATCATGGGAAAAATGTACCCTCTACCACTTTTCCAAATGATCAACGAGAAGTCAAGTTATTATTTGCTGCTCTTACAACTGAGAAACTGAGATCGAAGACAAGACTTTAGCCAGGTAGAGTATCTGGTGCTTTAATGATCTTATATTATGTTTTTTGTAATTTATAAAATTCGGAAATTCTTTTATTTTTTATTTTCTTTTATTATGTTTCCAACATTTAGAAGGATTTATTGTTTTATGATTTCAATGTTCCTACATAATTTTGAAAAACAAAAATGAATGAACCTATTAACATCAAATGAACAAATATTAAAATATAAAACTGAAAATGGATTTTTAACAGCCCTACTGTAGTTTATCACTGTTTAAAAAACAAAACCCTCAACTGTATAGCGGATTTATTTAGATTTACGTAACTACCAACACAAATAAAACACCTTACACAACTCACTGTAATACTTGCACACTTCAGAACATACCTGGATAGAGCTGCATGATGAACTGAACAAAAATAAGAAAATCAAGATTTTAATTCATTAATAATCCTTCAGCTTAGTCCATTTATTCATCAGGGGTCGCCACAGAGGAATGAACTACCATCTTATCCAGCATATGTTTTACACAACGGATACCCTTCCAGCTGCGACCCAGTACTGGGAAAGATCCATACACACATACACTACGGCCAATTATGTTTACCCAATTGACCTACAGTATAGCATATGTGCTTGGGCTCTATGGGAAACCGGAGCACCCGGTGGAAACCCACACGAACACAGGGAAAGCATGCAAACTCCTCACAGAAATGACAACTGACCCAGCCAGGACTCGAACCAGCATCCTTCTTGTTGTGAGGCAACAGTGCTAACCACTGAGCCACTGTGTCACCACAAGTAAAACATCTCGTTGTAAAAAAAATGTAAAAATTAAGTAAGTTTTTCCATAAAACAAGCAAAATAATCTGCCAATGGAGTAAGCTAAATAATCGATAACCACTGATTTAACCAACTTTTGATTTTGTTTGATTTTGTCTTTCTGGTCTTTCCCCCTGTCAATGGAGCCGTCCGGCGGAATGACAAAGAAAGCTGATGCTGATTGGTCCTTGAGCCTGCATTAAAAAATGCTGATTGGCTCACATAAAGAACCTTATAGAGTCAAGCTGGAGTACAACTTTTGTTTTTTTTTAAAATAAAAGTCTTAAAATGAAAACAACTAATAAAAAACATGAAATAATTTAAATAAGTTGTCATTTAATAAGAAAGTGTCAATAACTCAATTTTGGCAAAAATGTCAGATAGAACCTTATAATTCTAAAGTGATGAAATGTCCTGTTGTTGGTGTTTACTTGCAATAAATGTAAGTTGAAAACAATGAGAATTGTTTGGGAGAATGGTGGTCTCATATTTCATGTAGAAAAAGTTGTCATTTACATTTTAGCAAGAATCCTTCAGCCCTATACAGTTGGAAGTCTGAATTATTAGCCCCCTGTTTATTTTTTTGCCCAAATTCTTTTTAACTGAGAGAAGGTTTTTGTAAAGATTTTTTTAAGAATTATTAGCCCCCCTGTATTATTAGCGCCCGTTTATTTTTTTATCCAATTTCTGTTTAATGGGGGGAAGATTGTTTCAGCAAATTTCTAATCATAATAGTTTTAATAACTCATTTCTAATAACTGATTTGTTTTATCTTTGGCAGGATGACAGTAAATAATATTTGACTAGATATTTTTCTATACAGCTTGAAGTGACATTTAAAGGCTTAACTAGGTTAATTAGGTTAACTAGGCAGGTTAGGGTAATTAGGCAAGTTATTGAATTACTGTAGAAAAAAATTAGCTTAAAGGGGCTAATAATTTTGTCCTTAAAACAGTGTTTAAAAAATTATAACTGTTTTTATTCTAGCCGAAATAAAACAAAGAAGACTTTCTCCAGAAGAAAAAAAATCTTATCAGTAAAATATTCACAGAAATGTTTCTTTTTCTGTTAAACATAATTTGGAAAATTTTTAAAGAAGCAAAAAAAAATTGGAAGGGGGCTAATAATAATGACTTCAACTGACCCCTTCACTCACTGAAAAAAAAGTTGACTCAGTTTAAAATGAAAGCAACTTGCTGCAGAGATTTTTAAGTTGACTCATAACAGCTTTACAGTGTGAATATATAACCCTAAATACAGATTAAGCATTTTGTGCATGAGTTAAAGAGAAATCCTGGTGCTTTAGTGGGCGATGAGAGTTTGAATGTGCATGTAGGCACAATTTCCCTCTAGTATCCTCAACAGTGCATGTGCCAAAAATACATTTGGAAAAAGCAACAGCATATGAGCCATATGGCCTGGAAGTGTAATACACCAGTGCTTTCAGAGCTGAAGGACGGTGTAAAACCCTCAAACAGCTGAGACCTGCGCTCTATATTATTACAAACACACCCGCATGTTTTCATTACACTCACACTGTATCGAAGTTAAATATGTTTTTTTTGTGTGTTTTTTTGTGAGTGAATTTTTTATCACAACTGAAACAACATTGAAAAATTGGTTGTTCGGCGGTGACAGTACATAATTTAAATAAATAAATAAATAAATAAAAATGTTAACTGCCAGTCAATTTCTCTTTTTTGAGACAAATACAAACACAAAACATAAAATAATTATGACAATAATAATAAAATAAAAAAAAATAATAATAATACAAATACAAAATAAATAATAATAATACAAAATAAATGAATAAACAAACAAACAAATAATAATAATAATAATAATAATGCAAATACAAAACAAACAAATAAATAAATAAACAAATACATATATAATAATTGTAATAATAATAATACAACAACAAAATAAAATGAACAAATAAATAAATAATTGAACAAACTAATAAATAATAATAATAATAATACTAATTATTATTATTATTGTTTTTGCTGTTGTAGTTATTATTATTATTATTATTATTATTTAATTTGTTTATTTATTTAATAATTTTTTATTTATTTGTTTATGTATTTCGTATTATTATGATTATTATCTTTATTGTTGTTATTATCATTATTTTTGTTTGTTTGTTTATTTTGTATTATTTTTATTATCAACATAATCTGTATTGTTATTATTATGTATTTACTTGTTTATTAATTTAATTATTTATTTTTTTATCATAATAATAATTATTATTAATACAAAATAAATAAATATAGGAATAAATAAATACATAATAATAACACAAAATAAACTAATAATAATAATAATAAAACAAAATAAATAAACAAAAACAGATAAATAATAACATAATAATAATATGAAATAAACAAATAAACAAATGAACAAACAAATGAATAAATAAATAAATAACAAAATAAAAATAATAAAAATAATAATAATAAGAAGAAGAAGAACATATATTCAAAATAAATAAATTAATAAACAAATGAATAGATTAATGAATAATAATAAAAACAATATAAATAAAAACAATAATAATAATCCAAATATAAAATAAACAAACAAATAAATTATAAATAATAAAACAAATTAATAATAAATTAATAAAACAATATAAACAAAATAAAAACACAAAAATTAATAATAATAATAATAATAATAATAATAATATTTTTAAATTGTACCTAATAATATTTTTAAATGTTTGCTCTTAGAGACTGTAAGAAAAGATTTGTGAATTCCCTTTGTAAAATGGATGTTTAAGGGAAATTGTAATATTTTCCATTTACAATATTCATACATTTAGTCATTTGTTTTGCACCTCCAAAAACATCTGTCCATTTTGCCCTTACATATTCAATCCACTTAAACTAAACTTTACTCAATGCATTTATTCTGAAGATAAAGCAAAAGAGAATGATATTTTCCATAACATAAACAGCATTCACAACATCTATCAATTCTTGCACTGTGGTGCGTTCGTAAGGGTTTCATCTTCGTGCTTGTTCCCATAGCAACCATACAAACATTTACAGCCACAAACAAACCCTAAGCAGCTCTAATGGCATCCTGTGTGTGGGAAATAATCTTACATAATAACAAGCGGCATCATTTAATAAGAGTGTTTTGTAAAAAATGCACATACGTTCCACAAAATAGGAGCTGGCCTCAATCTTCCAGATAATCTGCCCTTTGTGCGAGCCGTTCACACCCCGGTTTTTGTAGTCCAGGAAATTCTCTGACAGAACCTCATCTTGGGGAAAGAAAAGGGAGAAAAAAGCCCAGTTATCTATACATCTCTATCATTCATCATGATTCAGCATTTAAACTGAGATTTCAAGTGTTAAATGAATGCCACAACAGCTTTTAAAGGCCACCAGGTGACCTTTATAGCACCAGACACATGAGATACTCAGTTGAAGTCAGAACTTATAAGCCCTTCTGAATATTTTCCCCCAATTTCTGTTTAAAGGAAAGTAGATTTTTTTCAACACATTTCTAAACATAATAGTTTTAGTAACTTTTTTTAAATAACTGATTGCAAAATGAGTGCTTATTAACGATTATTTCTTTATTTGATATAGTTTTTCAGTGACTGTTTATAAATTTGTTTTAGTATTAGTTTTTCTAATGAAACCTATTGGACATACTCTCTCCTATACATACACACATCCATTTTGTATTTAATGTTAACAACGACACGGTTACCGTCGACTTTGTTATTGTTAACCCTGTTACCATCAACTGTTATCGTCGACTCTGTTACTGTCGGCTCTGTTACCGTCAAAACTGTTACTGTTGACTCTGATACTATCGACTGTTACTATCGACCCTGTTACTGTCGACTCTGTTACTGTCAAAACTGTTACTGTTGACTCTATTATCATCGACTCTGATACTATCGACTCTGTTCCCGTCAAAACTGTTACTGTCTACACTGTTATCGTCGACTCTGATACCGTCAAAACTATTACTGTCGACTCTGTTATCGTCGACTCTGATACCGTCAAAACTGTTACTGTCGACACTGTTATCGTCGACTCTGATACTGTCAAAACTGTTACTGTCGACACTGTTACTGTCGACTCTGATACTATCGACTGTTACTATCGACCCTGTTACTGTCGACTCTGTTACTGTCAAAACTGTTACTGTCGACTCTATTATCATCGACTCTGATACTAACGACTCTGTTCCCGTCAAAACTGTTACTGTCTACACTGTTATCGTCGACTCTGATACCGTCAAAACTATTACTGTCGACTCTGTTATCGTCGACTCTGATACCGTCAAAACTATTACTGTCGACACTGTTATCGTCGACTCTGATACCGTCAAAACTGTTACTGTTGACACTGTTATCGTCGACTCTGTTACCGTCAAAATCATTACTGTCGACTCTGTTATCGTCGACTCTGATACCGTCAAAACTATTACTGTCGACACTGTAATCGTCGACTCTGATACCGTCAAAACTGTTACTGTCTACACTGTTATCGTCTACTCTGATATCGTCAAAACTGTTACTGTCGACACTGTTATCGTCGACTCTGATACCGTCAAAACTGTTACTGTCGACACTGTTATCGTCGACTCTGATACTGTCAAAACTGTTACTGTCGACACTGTTATCGTCGACTCTGATACCGTCAAAACTGTTACTGTCGACACTGTTATCGTCGACTCTGATACCGTCAAAACTGTTACTGTCGACTCTGTGACCGTCAACTCTGTTACCGTCCACTCTGTTACTGTTGACTTTGTTATTGCTGACTCTGTTACTGTTGACTCCGTTACTGTCAACCCTGTTTTCATCAACTGTTATCGTTGACTTTGTTACAGTCGACTCTGTTACCGTCGACTCTGTTATTGTCAACACTGTTACTGTCAACTGTTATCGACAACTTTGTTACTGTCGACTGTTATCGTCGACTCTGTTACCATCGACTTTGTTATTGTCAACCCTTTTACAATCTACTGTTATCGACAACTCTGTTACTGTCGACTCTGTTATCGGCGACTGTTATCGGCAACTTTGTTATTGTCGACTCTGCTATAGTCGACCCTGTCATTGTCGACCCTGTTACTGTCGATTGTTTTCAACAACTCTGTTACTGTTGACTCTGTTAATGTTGACTCTGTTACTGTCAACTCTGTTACCGTTGACTGTTATTGTCGACTCTGTTATTGTCGACCCTGTTACTGTCGACCCTGTTACTGTCGACAACTCTGTTACTGTTGACTCTGTAAATGTTGACTCTGTTACTGTCAACTCTGTTACCGTTGACTATTATCGTCGACTTTGTTATTGTCAACTCTGTTATTGTCGACTCTGTTATTGTCGACAACTCTGTTACTGTTGACTCTGTAAATGTTGACTCTGTTAGTGTCAACTCTGTTACTGTTGACTGTTATCATCGACTCTTTTACCATCGACTTTGTTATTGATTACTCTGTTATCATCGACTACGTTATCATGGACTCTGTTACCGTCGACTCTGTTATGGTTTTAAGACTAATTTTAAGAACATTTAGTAACAGAATCAAATGCTTTCCATCAAAAAGTAAAAAAAAAAATCATTTTAACGAATCCTTGGGTCACATGCATTCTGAACTGTTGGTTATAGTCTGTCAGTACAGATCACAGATCAACCCTGATCGGTTACACCCCTAATGAAAATGTTTTCTGACCAATAGTTTTAGTCTTCATTTCCTAAAATATTCCTTTCAGCGTACAACAGCAAACAGAAAGCTGCTCACCAATGAGGTACATGCCAATCCAGTCTCCGGCGTCCACCTCCTCCTTGATGTCCCAGCTGAGGGTGATGTCCTGCGTCTGACCGATGGTGTAGCTGGAGGTGCTAACGGTGAGGGTGGAGCGGCAGTGGGATGTCAGCAGGTCAGTGTCGCTGGTAGAGCGCAGCACGGCCGCCGCCAGATCCTCCGCCACGCCGTTCTGGAAGTCCACATTAGGGAACTGCTCAGGGTTAAAACTGTGACGGATCGGGTCCTTACATCGCCTCCTGCCCTGAGATGCACGAGATGGAGAGGCCATAGCTGCAAGCCCGAGAAACCTGCTCTGGTACAAGTTCTGTAGAGAAGACCAAAGGAAAGAGTCAACACAATGCATTGTTATACACACACACACACGCATACACACACACAAATGCTCTTCTGGAGCATGTGGTGTGTAAGTCCAACCATGCAAGACACTGAAAGAGCAATCATGTCCTGAAGGGCTCAGATGCTGAGATTTCTCATGGTCAGTTTAGAAAAAAAACACTAAACCGCTGGGAAGAGGCAGGTCGGGACATGTTGGGCGCCTGACACACTAAATGTCTCCTACAGAAGAATCACAAAACCAATTTATAGTGCTAAACATCTTCACAATCTGTAAAGATGATCTGGATTTTTTTAGAAACTAAAGAAAACACAATGCATGGCACAAAAGAGCAGAGGTGGTAGTAACGAATTACATTCACTTCATTACATTTACTTGAGTAAAATTGATGGGTATCGTGTACTTTTTGAGTAAATTTAAAAATGTGTACTTTTACTCTTACTCAAGTACATTATTAGAGGAATATCATTACTCTTCGCCACATTTGGTGGCGTTCCTCCATTACTGTCAAATGATAATGAATATGATTCATATGACTTGTTTGCAAATATCGCGAGGTGCCGCACTGGCTATCTGCGGTTCTGAGAAGGACGGTCATGCTCTCTGTGTAGCAGGTTTATCAGAGAGGGTCACCCGTGGCCTCAAGTTCAGTCAGTGTTTTCACTCCAAGATGTCAACAAGAAAAGTTTGATAATGCGATCCTTGCTGTACATCAAACTGACATTGCAACATACATGAGTTGCAACTCCCTAAAAAAACATGTTTCACTGGTAAGTGTCAATATTATCCCAATTTCACCCTTATTAAAGATAACTATAGGTCAACTAAAGAAACTGCTGTATAATGGAATAACTGATTACCTGTTATACTGTTAACCATTAAAAATATAACAGTTAAACACTATTTTTATTTTTAAAAAATTTACGTTAAAGTGTTATATTTTTAATGGTTAACAGTGTGTTAATGACTTGTAAAAATACATATAAAGTCAGAATTAATAGCCCCCCTGTATATTTTCCCAAATTTCTGTTTAACAGAAAAATTCTGTTTAGAAAATGAGTTTATCAACACATTTGTATAGTTTTAATAACTAATATTTATTAACGGATTTATTTTATCTTATGCCATGATGACAGCACATAATATTTGACTAGATGTTTTTCAAGATACTCGTATGCAGCTTAAAGTAACATTAAAAAGCTTAACAAGGCTAATTCCGCAAGTGAGGGTAATTAGGCAATAGGCACCTTAAAATGGTTTTAAAAACATTAAGAATTACTTTTATTTAAGTCGATAGAAAACAAGTAAGACTTTCACCAGAAGAAAAAATATTATAGGAAATACTGTGAAAAAATTCTTGCTCCGATAAACATAATTTGGGAAATATTTGAAAAAGAAAAGAATTCACAGGAGGGCAAATTATTTTGACTTTAGCTGTAAACATATAATGAAAAGTAACTAAGTAACTATTTACATGAGTAATTTTTTCATCAAATACTTTTTTACTTTTACTCGAGTAACTTTTAAGATTGTTACTTTTACTTTTACCAGAGTAAAAATTTCCGCAAGTACTTGTACTTTTACTTGAGCATAGATTTTGGATTTTCTTCCCACCTCAGCAAAAGAGTACAGTTTGTGTTCATTATTTCAGGATGTCAGTATATACTGTAGTTTCAGTCTTAATAAGCAGGTCTCACATGTACCTAAAGGCATAGTTCACCCAAAATGTACAGATTTACTTCCTATTTACTCTTGTCAAGTGGTTCCAAATCTTCTGCTAAACACAAAGGAAGATATTTAGAAGAAGGCTGAAAACATGTAACCATAGACTTAAATAGCAGGAAAAACAAAACATGTTTAAGTCAATAGTTACCGGTTTCCAGCATTCTTCAAAATATCTTCTTATGTGTTCAACAAGGGGAAAAAACAGGTTTTGAACAAGAGAAGAGTGAGTAAATGATAATAATTAACATTTCTGATTGAACTATCCCTTGAAAAAAAAGTCTGTTTTGTCTTGAGAAGCCATGAAAAGAAAAGCATAAAGTTTTTACTTTGGTTTCTATTTCTGCAACGTCACAGCTGAACGACAAACTCTATAAAAATGTCAGTGATTTCAATAGTAAATACTGTAAAAAATATAATAAATCTGCAATCTGGTTAACAGTAAATTTCCTTAATGTTTACAGTGAATAACTGTTAATTGACTTACCCAGAATTGACTTCCCTGCATTGCACTTGAATTTTTTTAGGAATTTGCTGACATTACTATGGTTCTATAAAAAAAGTGTCCCATCAGTGACATAAGAGTTTTATGTTACATCTAATGTTTATAAATGATGTTTATTCCATTGCATTGATTTTATTTTACCACGATGGTTTTGATTAGTTGTGTGAATGACACTGAGAACCTTCTATAGAGTGTGTATGGATGTTTTCCAGTACTGGGTTGCAGCAGGAAGGGCATTTGCTGTGTAAAACATAAGCTGGATAAATTGGCGGTTCATTTCGCTGTGGCAACCCCTGATGAATAAAAAGACTAGGCCGAAGAAAAATAAATGACAGAATATCTGGTGTCAAATTGCACATTGCTGGAATCTTGTTGTGTCATCCCACATAGCAAAATATCTCTGTCCCAGCTCTGGCCCACACAATCAGCTTTTGCTTGGCCCACATGCCGCAGTGAATTACGCTACATGACTGGACCAAGTCTGGCTTCTAGACAAGAGCCTAACATGGACCATATCTGGGCCAAGTCTAAGCCAAGTTAATAACCCATAACTGAGCCTGAACTGGGCCAGAAACGTTGTGTCACAACTGCAATTGAAATTGATAATGAATCATTGTGTTTTAGGCACACTATAGACATGCTTTGTCTTGAAGTGACCTGATTGGTAGAACTGATTTATTTTTATTTGAAAATAATAACAAGGTTTTTAAAATTTGGGTCACGATAGGCCAAGCTTACATGGGCCACATATCAATTATTACCATCTGGGCCAAATACCACAATTTATATCTGGCCCATTTATTGTGTGCCACCTTAAAGATTGTGTCATCTCTGCCAAATCAGGGCCATGTTTGGTCCACATGCTGTTTAAATGCCTGCTGTGCCAGATTTATGCCAAATCTGGGCCAGAATTCTTTGCTACCAGGGATGCTTTATTAAAACACGGTGTAAAGCTAACAGTTAAACTGAAAATGTATACGCTGACCCTGAATGCTACCAATGAACGAAATAGCATGTGAAAGTGGAGGCGTATTTAACAAAAACAACAGTACATTACATCACATCATCTCAATCTATGCGTGTTTATTTCAGTGAGTGATGTCTGATGTTTATTTCTAATCAAATAAATACAAATGTAATAAAATCTCAACACTCTAATCCTCTATAGTTTGCATTATCACTCATATTTTAGCTCAAAAATGGCCTTAATTACTTTATTCAAAACATAAAGTCGTGTTTTGTCTATGCAAAGGATTTACAGACAATAGTTTCCATCCGTCTCGGTTCACTCGCTAAAATAGACTTTCTAAATACTGCATTTCCTGCATGCTTCAGCTCTGAAGAGCAAGAGGCAGTGGAGCAGCACACAGCAGACTTGATGGAACACACACACACACACACACACACACACACACACACACACAAGTTACATAGACCACAAAGAGCAGAGGCATACGCTTCACTGTGGCAAGCCAAAATCTGGGTTAAAAACACAAACTGGCTTCCTTGTGGTTTTCTGTGCTGTAGCAATGGGTCAGAGCGGATGACGAGTCATTTCACAACTACCTAGTGAACTGATGAGGTCTACCAGAGATTTTATCTAGATCTTGGATTTAAAATAGATAAATTTGACTTCTCTGTAAAGGTTTTAGTGGGATAACGGAAGTGAGTAAGACCATCCATACATGCTAAACTGCTTTATTATTAAAGTCAACACTTTCTACCACTGTTAATGTCATGTGAATTACTATCAAAGTCAGAATTATTATAGAATTATTGGCCCTCCTGTATATTTTTCCCTAATTTCTGTTTAACAGAGAGAAGATTTTACTTACAAATTTCTTAACTTTTAATAACTCATTTCTAATAACTGATTTATTTTATCTTTGCCATGAAGACAGCAAATAATATTTGACTAGCTATTTTTCAAGACACTACGATCTGCGCTGCAAGCTCCACGTAAACGACAAAAGACTTCCAAGAACCTCTGTTTGCACATCAGGAAAACTCAAGAGAGAGTAATGCAAGTATTTCTTTATGTGGGTTTTAAGCTGTGCCTTTTTTTAAGGTGTTTATCAATACTTGGTTCTTATTAGTCGTGTGGAGCTGAGGGAGATTTGCCATACTTAATCTAAACTCTTTATTTCCTCACTGTTCTGTGTTTCTGTGTTTTTGTGTATCGTACGTTTGTTCATTATGTGTTCATTATGTGTCATTATATAACCGTTGGATTGTCTTTGTTTTGCCTCACAGAAAGGGTCACTTTGATGGTAAAAGATCTGTTACCAGCTTTACTAAAGTTTATTAATATTCTTAAGCATTCAACTACTTCACAAGAAGTATAATTTCCTTTCTGAATAAATAAACAATTAAAAAGTCTGCTCAGAGGAGCGGGTGAAGTCAATAATATCCAGCTACAGGTCCGCAGAACCACACACGTCTCAGGCACAAACAATCCAGCACACACAATGTAGCCAAACCATATGGTTACGACGAATGTTAATGTTATTACCGTCTTCTCGGACATGGTGCGATATATATTTATATGTATATTGTTAAAAAAAATAGCGTAATAAACAATAGTGTATACTATTTCACAAATATAGCGATTGAAATGGGCAAATGGGGAACGTTGTTCCCGATCGCCATTCAATATAATAGACTAGACATTTTTCTATCAGTCATCATAGATGATCAGTCATTATTATCTGACAGAGTCAATAGCAGATACATTTGCTGGCAT